CTTTAATGAAATGTACCGTACTCGTAATGGAAGAACTCCACGACCTCAGGAAGTGGCCCCGAGGCTTGCCATAACGTAAGGGGCCGTGGTCAATTACAGCCAACGTCAGTTGACCGTGGACAATTAGACCCAAGCCGAAACATAACATGTAAAAAAGATTGTTTAAAAATATGTTTTATTTTATTTTTTATGATAAAATATAGTATTGTCATCAGTATGACATAAGTATACCAAGCTTGCAGTCGATGCCACATTGGGAAGTGGGTTCAAATTGAGTTACAAGATTTGAGGATACAACAACGACAACAACAACAACAACAGACAGAGTGAGTTAAATAAAAGCGTGCAAAAAATGGAAGAAAACAAGTATAACCCATAAAAACAAAGTTTTTCACTATAAATCCTTTATATGCGTGGCGGCTAGAGTCCTCTCGTCCTCTGGCTTGAGATGGCTGCCACCTATGGGTCAGATGATTGCCTGGCACCATTAAGCAATTGGTAATTAAATATAATTTTTTTTTCCTAAAAAGTGTAAAATTTTGGGGGAAAAATTTCACGAAAATTAATTGTCACGCACAACGAGTCTGTGTGGAAAATGTCAGCTCGATTGGATCACGGGAAGTGGGTTAAAAAACGACCGAAAGATTTGCACGGTAGTAAGCAAGCAAGCAAGCAAGTGAACTTAATATAAAAGATTTAAAAAGCAATGCACGTGTCAATCCACTGCTGGATGAGGGCCGATCAAACCTTGCGGTTCACCGGGGGTTATTTGACCATACTTCACCCACGCGGGTTGCTGCGGAGTGATGAAGGTGGGGAGCATAGATATCCAAGTCTAGTACAGTACTACAACGGATTTGGCTGCTCTGCCCCCTCTGCTGGCAATGTTTGCCGGGCAGCATCCAAGCACTTACCAGTCTCAGTCTCTGAGATTCGGACGCGTTTAGGTTGCTTCCATCGTGGTCTATGAACGTTGGCTCCAGGATTATATCAATAATCGCAATCGTTGTTTTCCAGTGGACAATGCGCATTGAACGTGTCAAAACGAATGCTTTCTGTGAAACGGAGCGTTATTTTGGTCTAGCACTGGTGGTGAGACAAGGCCATGAAGGAGGTGTCGGCCAATCAGTTTCAAGGACAATGTATAATCGGCACCGGTGATGGGTTGGTTGATTTGCATAATTTACAACAAGTATGTGTGGTCGATGCAGACTTTTGGTGGCGCCTATTCGGTGTTTGCACATCTTAAACACGTCCATCATCTTGATGCTCGCAAAAAGGGTCCCGTAGATATTTATTTATACATTATAGAGTACAGCGATGCAACATTTATTTGGTCTCTTTCCCCCAGTTTGATCGCGATTATGCAATCGGCGTCGTGTCATCAGATGAAGTGTCCGATCGGATGTCTCGCACCAGCAGTGTTCGAGATTGGCCCAAGTGCAGCGGGTACTACAGAGCTACTTCTGAGATCCCTTCGAGTCACCTCTGGTCCCACACAAGTAAAGAGCAGCACTTTCCCCCAAACCGCTCTGCAATACGAGAGTCACGTTCATCGCGTGACGGTCAAACCGGTGTGTTTAAATCTCAGAGCAGGAATTAGCCATATTAAGTGCGGAAGCTAATTTAATGTGATGCTCGTGTTTGTGCAGTCTGTGGTGACGGAGCTGAGGCTATCAACACTCGACACTTGGGAACCCGGTCTAACCGCAATATAGTCTGCGAGTCAATGGTTATCTCATGTGAGTCTGTGGCTCTCTATGTGAACCGTCGTTTCCGAGGCTCAGACCATCAACTCACTACACTCGAGAGCCCGATGTTACCACAACACATTTTACTTGAGTCGACGAGTCCTCTGTGTGAACCTATGGGTCTCTGTTTGAGCCATTTGGTGACCAGGCTGACACCATCAAACTCGCCGCACATTGCGGGTCGCAACGTGGATTCGAACCCAGAACCTCAACGTTACCTGCTCAGTGCTCTGACCTCTGAGCCACCCACACTTCTCGTAGCGCGCTGTTTTTTTTTTCTTGTCGGCGTGCGTGCGAGCGAAAATGCTTTGGCCGGCGAGAGCCCTGACACTCATTGAAATGCAAAGTGCGCCGTTCAGTTAATTATTGTCTGATGGGACACGAAGACACGGTCGGTAAATCAGGGCCCAGCGGACACGGAACGAGTCTCCCGACGTTTGAGAGAGTCTCGGTATAAAAAAAAATCGCAACTCTGGCCCCGGCGCCGACGCAATTTATGTTGGTGCACAGGTGCAGGCGCTCTTCGACGTTGTCACCTCCGCAGAATGATGCCACTCGTCGTGACAGAACGAGCATCGGCGCCGGTGATGGGTTGGTTAAAAACAAGAGGGGGGATCGGGTTGGGGAGGGGAGAGTGGCTGTTCCTTTGGCATGCGCTCATAGCTCTCAGCCGCGTCTGTTTAGACTCGCAAGCGTCTTCATTTAATATTCCATTATTTACGCCATGATTCTAGTCAATAAAAGCGCCATTACGGAGCATTAGGATGCTGCTCAATTTGAAGATAAATCATTTGTTGGGATATTAAGTATTAATGACATAGACACAAAGAAATTAACAGCCGCTGTCCCAGCTGATCACTACGGTTCACAATGTTGGTTTGTGTTCTTTAAATTCTACCCAGAGGTGGAAGCCAATCATTTGGTCGGATGGGGAGCGGGCCTTCGGTTTTTTTGTGTGTCTGTGTGTGTGTGACAAGTTTCCAGTCCCTGTGACGGCCTTGTGTCCCCGAGCCAGAGGAAATGTTGTTAGGAGGGCGCCATCTGCTGGACACACAAATTAATCGCAACAATTTACACGACCGGTAGAATCAGAATATTTACGTATTCATACTGGAGGAATACAATGAGCTATAAAGATATGTTTTTACAAATGTCCAGTCGAAAAAAAACATTGCAGTGCAAAGTATAGGGAAGGAAAACAAATGACTTAAAAAATTTACAAATAAAACTGAACTTTTTTTTTATTTTACCAGCGCATCTGTAAACGTCTCATCCAGTATTCAGAGTTTACGTTCGACAGCAGTTTTGTTTAAAACAGTGTTTTACTACGTAATCTTTTGATGCTTCAGTTTGTTAAAGCGCCAAGCTTGAATGAGCTTCAACAGAAAAGAAAATTAAACACATGTGACAATAACAGTGTAACTTTATATAATAGGCAACGTTACAGGTAATGTGCCTTTTTCATAGCACATGGAAGGGCCACTGCCCGAAACGTCGCCTGTTTCCTTTCACGGCAGTGTTATTGCCACGGTGAAGAGATGTTAACTACCTCGCCTGGTATACAGGGGGTCGTAGGTTCGATCTCTACCCTGACGCCTTCTGTATATTTGGAGTTTTCATTTTTTCTCTTGGTCGTGTGGATTTTTCTCCGGGTCCTCCGTTTTTTTTCCCTCCGCATTTATTAAGATACGTTCAGAATATTTGGCTGCTGTACAATTTCCACGTGAAAAGCCACTCCGCTGAGTTATATCTTTGTGGCCAGGTCGTTTAAGAAAAAAGAGCTACATAGCTCAGTAGGCCTTACCTGGTTAAATAAAAAGTGTAGTTTATTGACGAATCTGTTCAGTTGTGTGTGTACCAAGGCCGTAATTATAATATGTATTGGGGGGGGGGGGCACACCCCTCCGAATATTCAAATATGCTCAAAATGCCCCCTCAATATATTGCTATAAAATAGATTCATGTTTATATGATTGTGGTTATGGTTGTACTTTATTAATCCCTAATCTCTGCCATTACATACAATGAAACAAGAAAAGTGAAAAAAGAAAAAAACAGAGCAATGTAATACAATACACTATTAGACATTGTAAAAAATAAAATAAAAAGTCCACCGTATGTGTTAGTAAATTTTTTGTTATATTTTAAGCAGGAAATTCGTTTTAAAATTTAGACATATTGTCTGGGGGGGGGGGGGGGACCCCCAGACCCCCTGGAAGATTTGGTCCCCCCCAATGTTGACTCCATGGCTACGTCCTTGGTGTGTACACCATTGCCAACGCAGAAGAATCGCCAAATAACTTGCTCAACTGAACAGAAACATTTGAAGCTCAGCTGAGACGTTGGCAGACACGTGACACTCTCTCGCGTCTCAACTCGATGCGCGCGCGCGTGTGGCCACCACATAGGCAGACACGTGGATGGTGAGAGGGATGAAACTCGCACGGTACAATCTCGGTCAACACCAGACACGCTTATTTGAACCGGTTGTGGTCCTCCCCTAGGTTGGCTCAGCCTCAAATTAGTACCTGGTGCGGTGTGTAAACATCGCCACTGGGGAGACGAAGCGGCCGGGCGTGGTGCTGGTCATTCTCGTGTGCAGTGTTGGCCTTCGTAGGTGCTCGCTGACAGCACTTGCCCCAACTGTCTGTTGAGGCTATACAGGGGATCTTTGTCTTTGGGGTCGTCCATAAATGACGTCACGCACCTATGGGGGGGGGGGGGGTCAGACATTTGTGACAATGTGTGACGAGGGCGGGGGGGTATGAGAAATGTGCCGTCACATTAAAATGCGCAACTTTAAATAAATATAGACAACACGTTCTACTTTCAAAATGGAAATGTGGTTTTGGGGGGGGGGGGGCAGAGCTTTGTGACGTCACATTTGGGGGGTCTGACTTTTTGTGACGCCGTGTAACGAGGGGGGGGGGGGTCAAAAATCGTCCAAAATCGCGTGACGTCATTTATGGACGGCCCCTTTGTAGTGTAACAGACCCAGATGAAACAGCAACATGAATGATTTAATAACGGGTGATACCTAGATGGACACCCTGTATAATACCATGCACGAACTGCTGCTACGATCGGTCTGCATGGTAACACTCACTCTGTGGTACGGCAAGGGCGGTAACATTGATAAGGGTGGACTGAGTTCACAGAGGCGATCGAGAACACCTATGTGGAGTTGAACTTCTCACCCGAACACTAAGGTGTGTGTGTGCGCGCATGTGACACCGACAAGACTGAATGAAATGTTCCCCACGATTTATTTGTAAATTGCAAAAAACACTAACAAGAGATGAACAAAAACCAGCACAATAAAACACCATGACCTGGAAAGGCATCGTCAAGGCCTCGGAGTCACACAACCTAAACCCACAATAATTAGACGTGCTGCCGTTGCCGGCTTCAAATAGTTATTATTGATAAGAGAAATACACATTATAAAATGACCACAACCGATCCAATGCTATAATGGCAATCCCCATAAATTTTAGCAAAAAATTATATATTACCACTTCAATGCAACCCAACGTGTCAACAAAACCTGGTACAGACCAAATCCTCGATATTCATTTCACCTTTATTTAACCAGGTAAAAAAAACTTGAGGTTAAAAAAACCTCTCTGGCAAGAAATCAGCAAAAAGAAATCACGACACACAGAGAAAGATCCCCCGTATAGCCTTAGCAGACTGTAGGGGCAAGTGCTGTTAGCGAGCACCTATGAAGGCCAGAACTGTACACGAGGGAGTGGGTGGCCAACACCACGCCCGACCGCCTTTGTCTCCCCAGTGGCGATGTTTACACACTGCACCAGGTACTCATTTGAGGCTGATTAGACCTAGGGGAGGCCCAGAACCGGTTCAGATAATCGTCACTGGTGCTGGCCGTGAGCGGGAATCGAACTCGGGTCGCCGGGTTCATAGCGCTAATCGCTACACTACCGCTCCCACATACACCCACATACACCCACCCACACACACAATACGCGTACATGTGGCAGACGAACATTGCGGACAGGCGGGGAAGGCAGCAACGCGGTGAGCCAGTGCCAAGTTCAAGCCCTGCGGTCCTCTTAACTATGCAGGCGTTATCAGCCAACGAATCAGTCTTTTTGCGGGAGGAAACCTGAGCGCCTCGAAATAACACCCGCGTGCGAGGTGGAAACACACCGTCCCATACGGACGGAACACGTGGGCTCCACTTGTGTCATACCGTCTTCTCCTGGCGAGTCAGGGTTATGGCACCTTCCCATGGGAAAGGGAGTTGTGTAAAACATGTTGTGATACACCAACGAGTTCGTCTCCAGTGCTGGGTAACAGGCGCTAGTAGCTGCTGCCACCACCACCGCCCAGCTAATAATATATCACAAAAAATGTACTACATTCACACAGCGCAACTTGGAATTTATTTATCATCAAGCCAGGGCGGATTGGTGGCACAGCGGTTTTGGCATGAACCCGGAAAGTTCGTGTCCTGGCCTCTGCCCACGTCAATATTGAGAGTACTTGAACAGGTCCTCGCAAAAACCTTCCCCATCTCACCTCGCGTAAATAAACCCACACTGACCAGCATGGTGAAGTATGGTCAAACAACCCATGGAATGGCGTTCTTGCAGCAGTAAAACAAAGGGCTGTTATCAGTTATCAATATTAAATGTTCCCTACAATTGGAATGTGGTGTGTACTAGGGTTCAATTGATAGTACATTATATTATTATACGTTGTCTAAACTGCTAAAAGTGCTTTAAAAGTGGAACTACTAGAAGTAATTTGACATCAAAGCAACGTAATGACATTACAACTAAAACGTTCCTTAACCTATGGCAATCCATTGGGCATAACACCGAGAACATTCATCAGCCAATCTCCCCAATATATACTCTAAATGCAGTGCAAAACAATGTCATATTGAACGTGGAAGTCGTATAGGAAGTCGTGGATCAGTACACTTTATACATCACTCAGATATTTTAACACAGCAGCATCAGCAAATAAATGTCGGCTTAAATTTCTGCATAGTTGGCAACGTTTCGTTTGTACAGTAGATTGCGTCACTATTGCCCCAAAAGTTCACAGTAAAACTTTACACATCATCAAACAAAGGCGCTTTGAGTGCGTGTGTATGCATACCAAACGTTGAACCTACGTACGCACTTAATATACACACACACTTGCCGTGTAGTGAATTGTTAACACCACATCTTGAAAAAACAAATGAGGAACTGGTCTCGACAATAAAAAAAATACCTCACAATCGAGGGCGTCATTTCGTTCTGCTTGCTGTACAACAAAGCCCACTAACAATGTCACGCGTAGGTAGGTTTTGCAGCCTCTCTTCCCTTGAATCGAAATGCGGTCTTCCGGCGTTGGGGGGCCACGTGTTGATGGATTCGTCTCCGGAATTGAACTCCGTGAAACAACACGTGACCGCAGTAGCTTGAGAGAAGACATTCTCTCAATGCGTGGCCTGACTCGGAATGCCCACGGCTTTGTAATCCATTCATCGCGGACACATCACCGCCCGCGATGGCTCGCACAAACAATTATTCAGCTGCGATAATTCATTGGGAGAGGGGAAGTTCCTTAACTCCATCCGTGGTCGTTGACCGGTTACAGGCATTAACAGATTAAAAAATAAAAACTTCGACAACTCTTTGACGCAAGCTCGTTTTGCCAAATCCGTATCAATATAATTTTGAAGAAAGCGTCGCAATGCAGTACATAGTTTCCCTGCAGTGCAAACACCAAGCGAGTCTCTGAGATGTTATTAGTGCACCCTTATGAAATACGCACTTGGTAAAAACACTTACACGAAAAACCGAGGCTATAAAAACAGGGACTGCTTGGGAAGCGACACGAAACAAACGGATGGGTGTTGATGACGCTCGGAGTGAAGAGGGAACTTGTCACCAATGATAAAGACACAAACTATGATTTCACGACAACACCCACAAACTTGGAGGTTGTCTAATCAAGGCGATAAGGATGTATACCTGGTCAGAGATCGCAAGGTAGACAACGGACAGATGACATTAGCAAACAGACGGAAATGCAGATTAAACAACTCGGCGAGACCAACGTCGGCACAGAGCGAAGTGGAGGTAAGTGCTACACAGTCCGCTAGACCTCTTGGGCAGAGGACGACGACACTTGGGGCGGCGACGCTTGCGATGACCCCAATTGCAAACGCCACCGTGGGTCACAGCAGAACAAAGTCCTCGGAGGAGCTGTGCTTGACGAAACTCCCGCTCTTGGACGAAATGTGGAGCAGTCTGACGCGCCGCTCCGGGCGTGGCTCATCCTCCACGTAGTCCCTGCTGTGCCCCTCGACGAAGCTGAACACCGGGTAGCTCTCCTGCTGCGGCGTCCTTCCGGAATGCGCGCCGCCTGTCCTGCCGGAATGCGCGTCGCTCGTTTGCGACGGCGTTGCGAGTACCTTCACGGGATTTCACCAAGATCAGAACGAAAAACGTCAACTCCGCATGGGACGCTGAGTCTATTCATAGATTGCACATTGTAATGGACTCTTTGTTGTGGTCGATTGCATTTTTTTTTTTACAATGGTGATTGGCCCCTACACTTTCTAACGCAAAGGTGCGAAAACCTACAACCGGCTGCAAATGGGGAGCATATACGTTTGAGTAAAGTACAATACAACAATAGATTTGGCTGCACTGCCCTCTGCTGATTACATTACCCAGCAGCAGCATCCTAGAATAACCTGTTTTGTGCAAGGTTGGTCAACCATCATAGCAAAGTCCAGACTCAAGCCCGCTTAATTTCCGAGGTCTGATAAGATCAGGTGCATTCCCAGTCATTCAGTAAATGGCCACATCAGGAACAATGCAAGACTTAGAAACAGTTGTTACACGTCACCCGAGTTGGTCGAGATTGCCGGCTCTGAATTCACCTGCGTCACAGTGCAACAGAATGCACTGAAGTCTTCTTTGGTCCGACAGTAAAATCCCAGAGTGCAACTTGGGTCCATTTTGGTGAACGCTGTTTTTCGCGGTGGACAGCAGTGATATGACTGACAAGGGAAATAACCAAAACATGTAAATGTTAATATGAACATCTATTTCAAACCAAACTTTATATTTGACCAGGTAAGGCCCACTGAGCTCTATAGCTCTTTTTCAGAAACGACCAGCCCACAAATGATTGCTCAACTAAGTGGCTCCACATTTACAGCAGCGAAATACTCTAAATACATGTTTATAAATGTGGAGGGAAAAACCGGAGGACACGGAGAAGAATCCACGCGACCACAGAGAGAACATGCAAACTCCAATATACAGCAGCAGGCGTCAGGGTCGGGATCGAACCCATGACCTCCTGCATACCAGGTGAGGTAGTTAACATCTTGCCACCGTGGCGCCCCGTCTGGGGTGGAACAGTGGTTCAGATAATGCACAATGAACCCAGCAAATCCAAGTTCGATTCGCGGCTGCGGCTTAATAGTATGGCGGCTTAATAATATGTAGACCAGAGGACGCCAAAAGGCCTTTTGGCGTCCTCTGGTCTAACACCTTTTGAGACGAGGCTCCAAAGAAAGCTGTCTCTGGTGTGGACCACTCGGTTTCAAAGACAATGCATATATTATCAGAGTATAATTCTTTGGTTTTTTATCAGAGTATGTTTTTTGTTTGCATTCTGGCCACACATTTTGTGGTTAATGCAAACACGATTCCTTGTAAAAGGTGCTTTAACATCTTAACACGTGTTTGGTTGCCAGAAAAAAGGGGAAAACCTCTTCTCATATTTTGGTACTGGCAAAGGAGATCCCATGAAGTATGTAGACGTTTTCTTTGCACCGTACGCAGACAACCGTGCCGATGTCAGTGGTTGTGATGTCTGAAACTGGCCTTGGGACAGCAGCCCAAACCAGAGTGGTGAAGTATGGTCAGACAACCCACCCTGACCGAAACTGTGGACTGACTGTTGTAAATTATTCTCATGTGTCTAAACATTTGGTAAAAACTGTTTTGCAATTTTTTTGTATGGAAATTTACTAAAATAAAAAAAAATTCATACATCAACTGTAAAATCTGGCTGTGTGAGGTCCACCATTGGCTGGCAATAATGTGGATCCAGGTAAATGAGGTCATCATCTGTGGAAACATAAAAAAAAAAGTTAATGAAGACTTAAAATATAATTAAATCAGCCATTCAGTGAACACAAGTGTAGAGATCAAGCTTGTCGTATAAACTTTGAGCACATTTTTTATGATGTTATTGCACTTGTTCACCAAGAAAAGCGTCGCCGAGTCTCATGACTCTCTTTTCAGGAGGCTCCTGCCAAGTTTTTGCGCAGTGGCGGGCGATGATTGCTATGTATAGTAATTTGCGGGCAATTGTTAAAATTTGGGAAATGTGGGCCATGATGCTGGCACACAATGGCCTATTCTTGCGAAACGACGTCACGGGATCTTGAACATCCAGTATTAAGCCGCCAAAATAAATATCGCAGCTGTGACCAATAAACTAACATCTTACACTTGGGCTGAGCGGCTCGCGATCGGAATGTTTGAAGTTCAAATTATGGCTGGGGTTTTGACTCAATTCATCATGCGTCCGGAGAATTCAATAGTGGTTGGATCCTCGTGGAATTTTTGTCACTAGTTCAGGGCTGTAAACAGGAGCGCACTGCCTCGATACTAAATTCAGCAGGAAATCAATAACTTTTTTTTGTACAATATAAAAAAGAACCAATACTTCAATCAAACCATCACTTTGAATCATGCCAATCCATCAATTGGCAAGGGGGCGAATCATTACGCGGTGGTGTTATACGGTATTAACCTTGGTAGCCAACAAAGTAGAGGGAGTGCTTTGGTTTGCCTCCGATGATTCCAATGCAGCTGTCCATCTCGAGCATGCCCTGCCAAAGTACAGCGCGAAGAATAATTCACAGCTCACTCAAATCAATCGTGAAAACAGTTGTTCAGAATTTTCCACCTTATATCGCATTCATACAATTTCCCAAAACACTGAGTGTTAAACGCTTGTCATCCATCGGATGATTTCCTCTGCCGTTGTCCTAAGTCTCAGATCCGTGGGGTCCCAGCCAGCGAGCACACAGAGCACCTGAGCAATAAAAGTCACCTGTTCACGTTCAGCCTTCAGTGGGCCAGAAGTTTGTACTTGCTGCTCTTTTGTTTTTTGCGTTTCACAAGATGATCAGGAGTTAGATGCCACTGTCGAGGTCTGCTGACCACGGCAGAACTTCTCTTGTACCGTATGTATCGGAGGTGCGAAAGACTTCAGGGAGAGAGTTCATGTCGGATTTTCCCTTCCTCCATTGCAGGAACGCAGACCTAGAGTAGTTTACGACAAGTTCCATAGTTTTGGTTGCCTTTCATTTTCCATTCATGAAGGAGATGGTTGCGCAGCGGCCTGTTTGTGATCCAATGTGGTTGACGGTCACACCGGTGTCTTCGGGGAATGGCTTGGTGACTTAAAAGGAAGATTTTTCGATTTAAAGCTTTCGTGACTGCAGGGATTCATCTTCTTGGTTCTTTCGGTAAAGTTCCTTCCCTCTATTACTGCTAACCCTACTCCCTCCCTTTGATGCTGCTAATCCTGCATACTGCATATGGCACGGGCATAATATGACTTTGAAACCCCCCCCCCCCCCCCACCTCCTACGCATTCCACAAGTAGTGACTAATCCCATATCTGCATTTCCCATAAATATGCAAAATTCCTCTTGATATGCAAATTACTTTGTCAAGGCGCCCCTTCCCCCCTCCAACCCAGCTTAAATATACGCTGCCAAGCCTAGTGGTGCCCATTCAGACGCTGTCTTCCCGACAGACCTGTTCTTCACCTGAGGACGGCTGCTTGCTTTGTGGCCCGAAACGTCGTGAGAATTATTTTATTATGTTTTATTTGTATTATTTTATTACTTCCCTTCTACGTGACTTACCGAAAGAACCAAGAAGGTTAAAGGAAGATGTTGCGGGGTTTACCGTGAAATTAAGACGAAAGCTCAAGATCGGGCCTCACCTTCACGCAAGCGATGTACACCGGGTTGAAGTGTTCTCCGCCGAGACGCACAGGAATGAGGATGAACACGGACCTCCAACCGCTGCCTTGCTCCGAGTTGCTGGCCGGGCTGGGATTTCCCCCCACGATTAGTTCACCGTCCCATCCGGGCCCCATCGGGTGGGTAGCGTGGCTCTGGCCGACTGCTACGTCGCTGGCTTCCTCCCGACACAGGTCCATAATATCGCCCTTGTACACTGAAACAGCAACAGCTCAATTCTCAACGCGGCAAACTCGAGTAAGCGAGGTGTGATACACTGCTAATACTGTGTGCGTGTGTGTATGTATATTAAGCCCTTTGTTAGAGCACTGCTTGATGAAGGCCTCTCCACACCACGTCATTCAAGGGAGTTGTTTAACCATACTTCACCATGCTGGTGAATACGAGTTTAAATGGGGGGGTGGCAAGGAACTGGCTTCTGAATTAACTCGCCACTGATGTTAGTTGCCGCTCGGAATCGAACTCAAGTTAGCCGGGTTCGCAGCGCTTGAACCATTGTGTCACCACTTCACCCATTGTACCGTTTACTTTGCCTCGTAAAGACGTAACAAGACCGTGTTCCTGAATGACTTCAAAGCTTCGTTAACACAAAAAAAAACTTGAAATTTACTTTCAGCATGCAATTATACTGCAATAATGCCACTGCAATGATGACATCACTCTAATGATCACTGCAGTGAAGGTATTAGAGTCCTATGGCAGTCTCACTCCACAGTAACACCGCTTGGTGCTGCACAGACTGATTGACAAAGCTTCGATTTTATTTCATACAGCCCAGGGCGGCACACCTTAGCTAATATATCTACGGGGAGCAATTTACAGCTGGGCAAGTGATTAGTGACATAGTGTGCGAGACGCCCACCTGTGCAGTCCTGCGCCACGTACATTACTGTATTGTGCAGAAGCTTATCTTCAACTTCTGCAATAGCCTTTCTGCAAAAGATAGTAAAGTAATCAGATACATGTAAACCTCAAGTCAATATCGTAATTCATTTATTTATATTTGGAGACTCCGTCACACCGCGCACATAAACGCCGTGACCCACCAGAAATCAATCCTCTCGTTCTTCACCAAGCACCCGTCGTTGCCAAAATTGCCGTAGCTATAAACAAAACTTTGAAACTTTGATTAGCGCATGGTGTAGAGCTCGTCGAGAGGAATAGATTGCCTATCGTTTGCCTTCAACAGACATAAAATGACGTCGCAACGCAGTTCATGTGAGAGCCGGGGGCTTATGGGACCCTGGGGTCCCGCCATAAGGTTCATGTAATCATTACAAAACGGATTCATGAAATGACAAATTAACTAAAACCAAAGTCTGTGTATAAATCCGATGAAGAAAAACATCAGTTCACAGTGTGAGGAGTGGTAGTCTAGCGGTTATGGCGCAATGCTACGAATCCGACGACCTAAGTTCGATTCCAACGCATGGCCAACACCAGTGGCAATTATCTGAACCGGTCTTGGACCTCTCCTAGGTCGACTCAGCCTCAAATGAGTACCTAGTGCGGTGTGTAAGCATTGCTACTGGGGAGACAAAAGTGGTCACGGGTGGTGCTGGCCACCCACCCCATTGTGTCCGGTTCCGGCCTTCGTAGATGCTCGCTAACAGCACTTGCCCCTCAAGTCTGTTCAAGGCTACACGGGGGATCTTTGTTGTTGTTTGGTGCTGGGAGGTGCGAGTTTTGTGGTTTCTCACTTGAGGATGTGGGCCGTGACGGCCGGTCCATACCAGTCGCCCGCTCGCTTCCTCGAACTCCTGCTGAGACGCACGAGGTTGTGGATGCCGAACGGAGCGTCTGGCGTGTCTGCAAACCAGCGGATGATATTCCGGTGGACAGCAACCTCTGCCAAGATGGCCTGGTTAGAGATCACCGAGGGAGATAGAAAAAAAAAAATGTAAAAAAGATCCCACGTGCAACCTACGTGTGACTGTTGGGGCACGTATTGCTGTGAAAGCACTGCGCACAAGGAATGTGGTGCGATCAGCTCCACGCTCCACCGCCTTTGTCTCCCGAGTGCTTCCGTTTACACACCGCAGCAGGTACTCATTCAAGGTTGAGGCAGTCAAGGAAGAGGCCAGTAGTAGTTCGGATATCATTCGCTACTCTTGGTAGACGTGGCAGAGAAACGAATTCGGGTAGTCAGGTTCACGGGGGCTGTGCACCGACCACTACATCACTCTTCATGGTTCTTTCGGTAAAGTCACGTAGAAGGGAAATAATAAAATAATAAAAATAAACATTATAAACTATGTTTTATTTTTCTTATTTTTTATTCTTTTATTATTTCCTTCTACGTGACTTTACCGAAAGAACCAAGATGAATCCCTGCAGTCACGAAATCTTTAAATCGAAATTTACACTACATCACTGTTATTCATTCTCACAGTTCAATACTACATACTTATTGTGCATGTTATGTAGTTTTCAGAAGTGGGTGGAACAAGTTAAGCCATAAATTGTACGCTATGATGGATTGTAAGTGCAGCAACTTGTGACAGGACAGAGAACATCAACTCGCTGTTTTTGAAAAATTGCAAAAACCTATAATGGACACGAAACATTGAAAACCTAGGCCCTCAATGGCACAGTACTGGCCGTGGAAACAGCCCCTTAAACCACAGTACAATTTGTCCATTTTCTTGGTTCTTTCGGTAAAGTCATAGATTGGAAATAATAAAATAATAAAAAATAAAACATTATAAAATAATTCTCACGACGTTTCGGCCACAACGCAAGCAGCCTTCCTCAGGTGAAGAACAGGTCTGTCAAGGAGACAGAGTCTGACAGGTCTGTTCACCTGAGGAAGGCTGCTTGCGTTGTGGCCGAAACGTAGTGGGAATTATTTTATTATGTTTTATTTTTTATTATTTTATTATTTCCAATCTACGTGAATTTACCGAAAGAACCGAGAAGATGAATCCCTGCAGTCACGAAAGCTTTAAATCGAAATTTAATTTGTCCATTGTGCACGCACCTTTTGGTCATCGGACGAAAGGAGAACACTTGCAGGCTGCGAGTAGACGTGACTGCCCGCGTGCTCCGCTGCCACCACCAGAAAGTCAGAATCTCCTGGAGACTGCGTCTTTTTCTGCGACTCGTTCTCCGACTCCAAGAGACGTACGGCCTCGCTGCACTGCCAGTCTGAAAACACGGGCGCAATAGCCAGCTACCTGAAAAAGTTACCGCCGTAATTTTCCTACTCGCCATCAACATTCACCTCTTCTTCTTGGCTCTTTCGGTAAAGTCACGTAGAAGGGAAATATAAAATAATAAAAATAAAACATAATAAAATAATTCTCATTATTTTAATAAAATAATTCTAGTAATAAAATAATTCTCATTATTTTAATAAAATAATTCTAGTAATAAAATAATTCTCATTATTTTATTATGTTTTATTTTTATTATTTTATTATTTCCCTTCTACGCGACTTTACCGAAAGAACCAAGAAGATTAATCCCTGCAGTCACGAAAAATTTAAATCGAAATTCAACATTCCCCTGTTTTCCATCGTGGCTACACATTTTCGTTATCCTTTTTGTCATTTTAAAGACATTCCTGTTGCACACCGCCCTGGCTGATGCTCATTTAAGATCAAGCCGACACTGGGGAGGCCCAGGACCGGTTCAGATAACCATCGCCGATGTTGGCCGAGCAGGAACTTAACCCGGCGAGTTCTTCGCGCAGTGCGCTAACCACGACACGTCGGCAATACGCGGAGACAAACGTGACATCTAAAAAATTCACCTCGGCCAAGCAGGTGCAGCATGAGCCCCTGCGCCAACAGCATCTGCCCGCTGCGCAGCATGCAGCCCCAGCCCGTGTCCGTGGTCAGGCTGGAGCCCTCCAGCGGGGCAAACTCTCGCCGGTACGTGATCCAGACGCGTGTCGCAAAGTCCCGCCTGAACGCTGTGAAGTCGGCGCATGCCGCGGGGGGCGTCGTCCCACCGCGTCTCTCGCCATCGCCGTCGACGTTCCAACTCGGTGTCACCGAGACCTGCTCCGGCTGCGCGGCCGCCCGCCGGCTTCCTGGTGCCATCTGCGACAGTTCGGATATTCGTGCGCCCGATTGTCGTTCACTTCAGGGCATGTAAATCATTCACTCGGCACCAGAGCGGACAGGAATGACATGGAAAAAAAGCACTAGCAACATAAATGTGATATGATGATCGTCAACAGTGGAGGACTTGCTGCTTTAAGTTTGTGGGCCCAGCGGTCTCCATAAAATATGTAAGCTGGGCATCTCCAATGAATTACTGATTCAGACAAATATGTCCGATTCGTATGTATGTTTGCATGTTGAACTTCTTTTACACCGTAGCCAAACATACTAATCGTAGGTACGGGGGAGAGAGGCGAGGAATCCTACTCCTCCATAATTACTGTCACCTGTCCCACTATAATAGAAAAGACTGCCAATCTTCTTAAGTACAGGAGTTCTCACCATGGGGGAGGCCTTCATCCAGCAGTGGATTGACCACGGCTGATGATGAACGATTCACCTAATTAAATTAACTGTTACAATTCGGCATCACAGGATTCAGAATCGATTATTGTTTCGTGTGCCCAATCTCGATTGTATCGTCTGTGTGTACTCTCCCGGTTGTACTGTACGTCCAGGCATACTCCGGTTTACGCCCAGGATATGTTCCTAAAAACCAGAACGGAAATCAGAAATGACTTCAATTGAAGCATTTTCGGTGGATCGTAAGGTGCTGTAAGGTGATACAGTACCTAAGCAGATGATGCTCACTAACCCATTGCGCATTTATACTGTATGACCATCGGTTTAATAAGTGTATATTATTATTAGTTTATCGTGTAGAAATTGTTGACACTTTTAGAAAAATAGTCGCCATGAATATGGTATGTGGGAAAACAAATATTAATGGCATACACCTGAAAGAGACTGTAGCCAGTCCCGCCTGAATGTTCGCCGTGGAACATTAAAACATGTGGGGCTTAATATGGTTAAGCTCGGAAACCTCGAGTACGTTATGGCGAGGCACACAATGCTTAGAATGGGATTGGATATCAATGAGTTGAGTACTTTATAGCGAAAGTACATAAAGCGGGAGGGCGTAAATCAAGGTGTTACTGTACATATCGTTTTATTTGTTCGCTATCGATGGCGAGATGTTATCTATCTCGCCTGGTATGCAGGAGGTCGGGGATTAGATCCAGACCCTGACACTTGTGTATATTTGGAGTTTGCGTGTTCTCTCTCCCCGTGGTCATGTGGATATTCTATCCGGGTCCTCTGTTTGTTCTCCCTCCACATTTAGAAACGTACGTTTACATTCGATTATTTGTCTGCATGATAAGCCACTTCGTTGAGCTATAATTTGTGGCCAGGTCACTTCTGAAAAAGAAGCTTGTAAAATACAAAAATAAAATACAAAATTGTGATTTGCTTACCTTTTCTATGCATTGCACTCCTATCGTGTGTCAAAGCCAAGCTTTGATCAAACTGGGATTAGAGTCATCCTGGTCGCTAAGCTAATGTCCTGAGCCCTCTCTTCCCCTGCACCCCCCCTCTGCCCCCCTCCCACCCATGTATTTAGGCTTTGCCAACAAATCACAAAGGGATGGGAGCGGTGGCACAATAGTTAGCACCTCCAGCCGGGCGGTGGTGGCTATACATGCCTCTAATCCAGCACTGTGAAGGCAGCGAGGGTTGCTGGACAGTTTGCAAATGTCATTGAATTCCCTTCGCCTGGAAGTCGAGGAGGTGCCCGTAGCCTGGCTTGCCAGGAGAAGGCGGTGGAGCAAATGTCAACCCCATCTGTGCCATCTGTACAGGATAGCGTTTGTCACCCTGATAACACCTTGATATGTTTTTGTATTGTTTGTTGTTGTTACTTTTTGACCCACCCCTATTGGACATCCGTGAAAAAGACGTTGATAGCTCACCAGATTCCTCCAGTCTAAAGATTCTGATATTAGGCTATGTGTTGTAAATTATAAACAGATGATTCTTGATGACGTGCAATTCCATGCGTGTATTGTGAGCATAAGAATTAATATAAATTAAGCTCTCAAAAGATGCCTATTGCATTTCAAGATTATCTGGCCCAATTATGCGCTCAGGTCTCGCATCCATTCTGGGTAGATAACATGAGTATGGTCTTCTTATGGAGATGCTCACCGCCACGGGAATATGAAAAGATGACTCCAACATCTATGCTTGATTGAGCAGAAACACACTTCACTTGGACTTGTGAACATTGACAATATGAAGCTTCATGAGGAGACACCTAAGAAGCACCCATGAAAAATGTTAAGATCAACTCGCCTTTTGAGATGCAGTTGTACTTCTTGCTAAGCAGACAGATGGCGGAATGTCGATTGAAGCTGGTCTTCGTTTTTACAACCCATCCTGTGAACACAGACATGCATGGTTACCCAACAGATTATTTTTAAATGCATTTAATGGGAGAGATCATGATGTCAATGCCCGTGCTTGACATCGTTCCATGTGGAAATCAACTTGGCCTTAAACTTGTGATAAATTACAAGTATGTTATACTCATCGTCAACACTCACCTACTCCCATTGAGGCTTCACATTTTGTGTGTCGGTAACCCCTTTGTTATTTTACTGAGATACCTGTTACCGAACGAGGTTCTCATTCAAGGCTGAGTCAATGTTGGGGAAGCCGAGGACCGGTTCAGATATTCACCGATGTTGGCCGTGAGTGGGAATCAATCGGTTTGTTGGGCTCGTAGCACAGCGCAGCGCAAACCATTGCGCGACACTGGGCCATACATTCACACACTGCACAAACAGTTGTCAGGATAAATTGCGATTCGTCAATTACCGTGTTTCACATTGTTCCACACGGAGATCAACTTGGCCTTCAGCTTGTCCACCTCGTCCACCTCCACATCTTCGGTACACTGAGTATGGCCGTTGCAGTCAGCCGACCCCGGCATCTTGCCTCCATGCTCTCGCTCAAGCTCCTTTGTCATTGGGGCCGGCCGAGATGAAGGGCAGATAGTAAAAATGTCACCTACAGCAAAGGGTCAAATGAGATTTAGAAGCACTGAAAATTGCTTACATTTATGAAAAACTCAAAACATTAATACTTTGCCTTACAGAGGCAAACATATAATAGGTGATAATTTGGGCAATGGTCCCATGTCTTAGCAGATGTTTGATATTTTTTTCCCTCTGTAAAGCAGTTGTATTTACGAATGTGTTGAATATAATTTGTACCCACTACCTAATGCAGTATGAATATTTTTTGCTTACATTTAGGGTCATATTCCTATCTTAACAAAACACCTTTGTTATCTGATATTTAACAAATCAATAGGATTTTAGCTCAATACTCAAATAGTTATTTTCAACCAATACATGTTTTAAAATAGATTTTCCATCCAAAGACGAAAAGAATCACGACACTTTTTTTTTACTCTAACGGAATGTGATGCATCTGCATTTCATGTAAAACATTAAGTGTACCACCCTTGGATGCAACGACAAGCGATGTAGCAACAAGGGCAATGAACAAAGGCAAGTCTATTGCTGCAGCGTAACTCGTGGGAGTTGAGGGAGCTGTAAATGTGTCAAGTGCAATGCCACATTTTTTTTCAACCTATTAAACACGGCAGAAAGATAAAAATAAAAATCACTGATGCAAAGAGGTGCTCTTAAAAGAGTCGGTGTGCATTATGTCAAGATGTCCATTATGAACTTATTCTCTCCAGTGCCCTTGACCCGGCTTCATCTTCCCATCAATCCAATATGAAGTAAAAACCATACTTTAATTCATCCATATTGTATTCCGTTCTCAATTTCTTTGGAAATGGTCATTGAATTTCAAACCCTCTATTAAAAGTCAAAGCAATCGGTAGGCAGATCTCCACTAGTGGTCCTGAGTCAGTGGTGGAAATTGCACATTTCAATGGCAAGGAACTAATTTTTCCACGTTCACGGATGACATCATCGTCAGCCACCGTCTATCCACTGCTGAATGAAGACCTGTCCCGAGCTGTCACCACCTTTCATGGTCCTGCAATGTAACAAGCCATGTACTGCCTGCAGCACGAGCTAATAACACATTCCTGCGGAGGGAGCTGGTAGAACATTGGATTGCTCGGTCAATGGCCAGGGTCAATGGTGGCGTGGTGTATTCCGCAAATATGCCCGACTGTGAGGGCGGGCACAAGCCTGCGTGAGTAGGTTAAACGTTGAGTTTTATAAGGGCACCACGGGGTGACCAGCCCCTCCCCACCGAGCCCCACCCCTCCCATCCAGCCCCACCCCTCCCACCCAGCCCCACCCCTCCCACCCAGCCCCACCCCTCCCACCCAGCCCCACCCCTCCCAACCAGCCCCACACCTCCCACCCAGCCCCACCCCTCCCACCCAGCCCCACCCTCCCCACCCCACCCTCCCACCCAGCCCTCCCCTCCCCACCCAGCCCCTCCCACCTCCTCCACCCAGCCCCACCCCTCCCATTTTTGGATGCACGACAGGACAGACACAATAATCCCCTGTGGGCTGGTATAACCAGGAGGTTCCTATCAGTATGATCCCTCTATCTCTGCGGTGGACATTCTCTTAGACATGTTCCCTCCTTTGGCTGTTACTCCATTGATATTCTTGACCAGGTGGCCATGATCCCTTCCAGTGACATCTAATTATCATTTCAACCGGCAACACACTCAGCATTCAAACAACTCTCAAAGACAGAGAGTGCCGCAGAGGGCACGAGTCAACAGACAAGTTGGAAGGCTTGCCAGTTTGGTGAGCTGGCTCCAACATGCCCAAGCTCTGCAGTACTCTATATATTAAGATGTTTTCAGGCCATTGGTGTGTGTGTGCATGTGGTAAGAAACTGGATTACCTGGAGAAACCCCACACAAGCAAGGGGGCAACAATATATAGTTCATATTTTCTGTCCTGCCTTCTCCTGCAAGCCATGGTATGGCATCTTAATGCCCACTGGGAAGGGAGTTGCATATCCCTCACCTCCACAGAGCTGGGTTACAGGCATGCACCACCAACCCTAAACCCACTTACCTTTCAAAACTCAATATATCAAACTTGCATATGTTCTCCTAATCCACACGTTCCTCTTTCTCTTCACGCAATTTCAAACACGAATCTGTTTTTATCACACCCCCCCCCCCTTCATATTATATGTATATATATTCGACAGCGTTTTCCAAGTATGACTGACAAATATCCTCAATAGTTTAGTGAATTACACACGTGTATATACTAGGGAATGACGTGGAAATATAGTTTCACTCTCGATATATTTCAGATAAAATATAAATTGACTATAAGGGCACCCCCTTGGAGTAAGGTCAGGTGTGTTCACATCATGTTTCCCCTTGTCCTTCCAACAGTGAAAAGCAGAGTTGTTGCTTATAACGGAACTGTGCTTTTAAGGTGTCAATTACAGATTATACTGCATGCGTATTTTAATATATTTTAAGGGCTATTACGATAGTATTCAGTAATGTAGTTTAAAACAAAAGGGGTGCGTTCAGGTTATGTTTTGCAAGAGACATCAAAATCACGAATTTGTGTAACATTGAAGTGTTGAAGACACTCAATATGTGCGTTCAATTGTAACAATTCACACCAGGCCCGTTACTGTACATCATTCACATTCAAGATCGTTCCAACAACTTGTACATTTGTGTAAGGGGAAAAAAACACACCTGGTTTACCCTTATTCTTGTACAGGTAAATTGAGTTTCCAGGTCCATAAGGCGCAAACAAAGTCTATTTGTTTGTAGTTCTCCCTTGTGATATGACTTTGTATGATAGACGTTAACATTTATAAGGGCACAGGTGACCAATAAGGTCTGAATTGGTCTGTAATATGGTAGGCACTGATAAGGGGTTGACAGGTAATTAATGCTCTTTGGTTTTTTCGGTAAAGTCACGTAGGTAAAAATAAAATAAAAATAAATTAAATCACGTTTCGGAGGCAACACAAGCTTCCGTCTTCAGGTGGCACCGTCACAGCAAAATTACTGTATCATTGATTACTGTATCAATTGATTACTGTATCATTGATTACTGTATCAATTGATTACTGTATCAATGATACAGTAATTTTGCTGTGACGGTGCCACCTGAAGACGGAAGCTTGTGTTGCCTCCGAAACGTCGTGATTTAATATATTTGTATTTTATTTTTACCTACGTGACTTTACCGAAAAACCCAAATAGTATGGACCCTTGCAGTCACGATAACTTCAAATCTAGGTAATTAATGGTGAGTGTACTAGTGGTGAGTGTAGTGGTGAGTGTAGTAGAGTGGTGAGATTAGTGGTGAATCGTGGTGAGTAGTAGTGGTGACTGGCTACTTGTTGGTGTTTCTCTCCTTGTGATGGGAATTTGTAGGATGGACTTTGAGTTCTATAAGGCCACGGGGTGATCAATACGGTCTGAATTGGTCTGTAATAAGGTAGGCATTGATAGGGGGTTGACAGGTATGATATAACAAGCAAGTCTTGGATAACATTTTGCGTACACAAACTATGCCGTTCTGTAGCAAACCGAGATGGGTCATTGGAAAAAGCATTTCCTCGTTCTTCAAGGACCACGTTTTTATCCCCGTCAAAAATATCTCTCTAAGCACCATACTTCACCAAACACTGCGGTAAGAGTAGACGTTCTTAGGAGTAAGATTATTTTAATTCGCATCGTGTAAACTCGATGGGTCTACTACGGGAGATCGTGGCCAACACGAGTGGCGATTGATTTCTGAACAGGTTCTGGGACATTCTTCACCAACTTGAACTGGAGGAATCAGTGAAGCATTGCCAAACCATCCCACTACTAGGGACCGACACGGCGGCGAGATGCTATGTATGGTAACTACCGAGAGTGGCAATATGTAAGCAACTTACACCTTACCAATCAACGAGGCCTAAATGGTTTGTGTACATATGCACTGTCAATAAACCGCTGATGAAATGCCAAACATAGGGCTTCGAAACTAGATACAGTACTATTTAGCAATTACGGTCATACTACTCACGTGGTTATGTAATACAAACATACATGTACGTTTCTATTCCATACATGTCTGTATGTACACTGCACTATGTACATTCGTTTGTCAATCCACTTTTGATTGAAGGCTTCCGAATCCGTGTTGGTCATGGGGGTTGTTTGGCCATACTTCACCACGCTGGTCACTGCGGGTTGGTAAAGGGGATGAGGGAGGCCGCTCCACACTCAACTCGCCACGGTTATCCATGGCAAGGAATATAACTCGAATGGGCCAGTTACCTTCAGCACTGTGACCATTCCACGTGTGCATACCCCTTACATTACACATACACACACACGTTACGTTTGTGATCGAACAATAACAATCTTCGAAGAGTCTGCGCGCACGTTTCATCAGTGAGTAAGTGTCAGAGCAAACAGCTAAAACAGACATCTCCAAAGACCTTACACACACCCCTCCCCTACCACCCCACCAAGTGTGGATCACGCCTACCGGAACAGGCGGCCCCTCTTCGGCAGGGCTTTTTATGATAGGCCGATAGAAGCCCGAGTCGGTAGGCCACAGTCGCCTGCACTCATCTTGTTTCCAACCGCCCAGCTCTCACTTCCGAGGCATGTTTGTTTAGAAGGGGATGTATGTTTATTTATAAAACATTGAAACCGATAATCTTCCCGAAACCAGCACAGCCTTCTCGCACGCTCAGATAGCGGGCCCTGTGAGCATGTTTAATCGCGAGGAACCATATGCCTTTCCGGAATCGAATCGAGTCAAGCTTCGCGAGAACGATTTGTGAACTGCGATTCCGACGGGTGATTTACCGCGAGCCCAGTGGGCACCTCTTATGAATCGAATCGAAAGAATGAAGTTTCATGCCGGTTCGATTCTATTACTATCGGATGCAGCATCTTTTCGCTACCGTATTCTCTGGATTGTAAGACGCCCCTGCAAATAAGAGGCACTCCAAAATCTTGTTCGCAGTGTCAATACGGTTGTACAGATCTGGCTATAACAACACATTCCTGCGGAGGGAGCTGGTAGGAACGTTGGTTTGCTCGGTCAATGGCCAGCAGGGTCAACGGCGGCGTGGTGTATTCCGCAAATATGCCCGACTGTGAGGGCGGGCACAAGCCGGCGTGAGTAGGTTAAACGTTGAGTTTTATAAGGGCACCACGGGGTGACCAGCCCCTCCCCACCCAGCCCCACCCCTCCCACCCCCCATCCAGCCCCACCCAGCCCCTCCCCACCCTCCCCACCCAGCCCCTCCCCACCCTCCCTGCCCAGCCCCTCCCCACCCTCCCCTCCCCACCCAGCCCCTCCCTCCCCACCCAGCCCCACCCTCCCCACCCAGCCCCTCCCTCCCCACCCAGCCCCTTCCTGCACAACGGACACAATAATCCCCTGTGGGCTGGTGTAACCAAGAGGTTCCTACCAGTATAACAACACTTTAATTTCGATTTAAAGCGTTCGTGACTGCAGGGATTCATATTCTTGGTTCTTTCGGTAAAGTCACGTAGAAGGGAAATTAAAAAAATAAGAAAAAAACAATACAATTATCACGACGTTTCGATTGCAACACAAGCAATCATCATCAGGTGTAAAAACCACAGCAAGAAAATTTAAGAATTTTATTGTTTTGTTTTATTTTATTATTTCCCTTCTACGTGACTTTACCGAAAGAACCAAGAATATTTAACAACACTTACCATTTTTTGTGAAAAATTGGGTTTCTAGCCCGTGTTCAGGAACGTAACCGTCCTGCTTTTGGAGTCACCGCCAACAAGAGCCAAGGACACACACCAGAGACTATTGAACTCTTCCTCCCTTCTGGCATGTTTCGTCCCGGCCAATATTATACATGGCAAACTCGTGCGTTCGATCCAGCAAAGCCATCAAGATTCTGGCTGAGAAGGCTTCGTATCCAGACGAAAATGGAAAATAAACGGATAATGTGGTCTATAAAGAGATTTAGTTAAACTATTACGTTATTTTTAAAATAGCAAAACTATTCCTGAATTATATCATGGGACCTCCTTTGCCAGTACCAAAATATGAGAATAGGTTTTCCCCTTTTTCTGGCAACAAAAAAGCTGTGTTAAGATGTTAAAACACCAAACTGAAACCTTTTACAAGGAATCCTGTCTTTATTCTGACCGCAAGTAGTGTAGAAAGAAAGCTGTCTCTGGTGTGGACCAATCAGTTCCAAAGACAATGCATATATTATCAGAGTACGTTTTTGGTTTTCATTCTATCCACAAGTAATATGGTTAATTCAGACATGATTCCTTGTAAAATGTATCAGTTTGGTGTTTTAACATCTCAACACCTGTTTTGTTGCCAGATAAAAGGGGAAAACATATTCTCATATTCCTGAACTATGTTGTCTGTTGTGTCTTCCTTAGAGTAGTTTAGATTTTACTCTTGCATAAACGTACTGTACCTTAGCTTCGGCTCCATAGGTTAGAGTTGAAGCCCAAAGTTCTCCAAAGTTCTCCGCAGGACACTATGCGATGAGAGGCCACAAGGCCACACATAGTCTAATAATACCGTGGACAGTTCTTATTTCCCTCTTGTTTCTCATTAAAGAAGGATGTAAGTGTAAGACATGTGGGAAGATGGGTCGACAAGGTAAGTAAGAAGCTCGGCCACAGCTCGGTATGCGGCTCGTCAGGGACTTATTTACTGTGGGCCACCATCTCGTATTCAAATGCATTGTGGCTCTTTAAATATTGAGTGGTTTTTTTTATACCGAATTCCCCAAAAATGTCTCTTGTTATTCTGTTTGCCGACCCCTAAGCTGGGTAACTAGGCAGTTAAAGGAGGTCGGTGTCGGTAGGTTTTTACGTGGGTGAGCAGATAGTTAAGTGGTAGGGTTGTTAATTTGCATATTAGTGTAGGTAGGCATCATGTAGGTATGCTGTAAGTTTCATACTCTACGGTACTGCAAATGCAGCGCCAAATTCATGTTGTTAATGACTCATGTTTAGCATGGAATGGGATGTTTATTGAGAAATATATCTTGCTTCATATATTATCAAACGGTTGTCCTTACAGCAGACAAGTAATTTACAACCTCCACATAAATGTCAGCTATTTTATTAGACGGTATTAAATACAAAATGTGCATAGAAAATATCGGTGAATTGTATCCGTATTTTATACGGCCTTTTTCAAAATACCAAACATGCATACAAACCTCAGGGGATGTCAGTAAACACTATATACGCAACGAACTACTGTTAAATTTAGCTAAAAGTACATTCAATAATGTAATTCCTATTACTGTATGACTTCTAAGACGTGGGCTACAGTATTTCGTAAAAATAAAAAAGAATGATGACATCTAAAGGAATGATCTTTGCATTCCCAACGTCTACACATTGAACACACCACCCATCCCTCATTAAGAATACTTACACTAATGAAACTTCGTTGCCCAAATTCATATTTATGAGCCTGATCTTTATAAATAATTTCATTGCAGTGGTTATACGTGGCGGTCTGCCGTATTATCACATTAGTCACAAGCTATAAGAAATATGCACGAGCCCTCTTTATCACTCCACTGTTGGATGAGGGCCAGCTCCCTACACCATGTGGGTCTTGGCAGTTACATTGTTTGACCATACTTCACCACGCTGGTCAGTTAGAGTTGGTAAAGCCAGGGAGCATAGACGTTGGGTGCAGTAGAGTACAACAATGGATTGTTCTGCACTGTCCTCTGCTGACAACATCGCTGCCTTTGCCATCTGTTACCCATCCAACCTACTAAGGCACCCAGAATGCGCTTGATAAACGTAATTCATAAAATATAAACTGCATAAATGTGAAATTCAGGATTGTGTATAATGCACTTAGCTATATTTCATATGAATATTGTCAATTTAGAGGCTACAGCAAAAATCAATACAACACTTTAAAGTGTAAAGACAGTTTTATAATAACGACGAACTGTTGACAAAATACACAAATGTACATATCGGAAATGCATTCAAGTCGCGGATAAGCATTTTATCAATAAAATATACAACATGAAATAAAATAAATTAACAAACTGTCGAATACATATCATGATGATCTCTGACAACGGCTCCCCAACGTTTCTGCACCCGCGATGCCACTTTCAACCCTCAATAATTTTTCGTGGACCACCGTTCACGAAAAGATGTTGGTCTCTTGCGAAACAAAAACAAATATTCACTGCAAGAGTTTATCTGGCCACTTCCCATGGATTTATGAAGCACGAGTGGGCCCAAATTGTCCGCAGATCAGTGGTTAGGCACCACTAATCTCGATGACGAATATATCTGTCGTGTTACTGTCGGTTGAATTTCAAGGTGATTTAAAAAAGCATCATTTCAACACGTAGGCTTTCGCGACCAATGTTATTCATAATCAACGCTTTTGGGTTTAGATCGCGTTATTTATAAATGTGTCGTAACCCTCCACCACCCGACACGGCCAATCAGTAAAAAAGTGTCACGTTGACAAAAGACAAATAGTTCACTGCTTTAGCCCACCGGTGTGTTGAAGCCACAACATTTACAATTTGAGTACTCAAATTGTTAAAATCAATACAACACTTTAAAGTGTAAAGACAGTTTTATAATAACGACGAACTGTTGACAATTTGAGTACTCAAATTGTAAATGTTGTGGCTTCAACACACCGGTGGGCTAAAGCAGTGAACTATTTGTCTTTTGTCAACGTGACACTTTTTTACTGATTGGCCGTGTCGGGTGGTGGAGGGTTACGACACATTTATAAATAACGCGATCTAAACCCAAAAACGTTGATTATGAAAAGCATCATTGTCCAACACTCGACGTAGTAGAAATTGAGGAACTATAATCAAAAATAGTTTTCTCTCATGCAGCTTGCCTACTTTAGAAACAATATTCAGCATATTCCTGGTTATTTAAGACGGAAAGACAGCGTCTCATTAAGACTCTGTCTTATTTCTAAAGTAGGCAAGCTGCACGACAACTCTGTTTCTTCACTTGAGGACGGCTGCTTGTGTTGTGGCCGAAACGTCGTGAGAATTTTATTACATTAGGTTTTATTTTTATTATTTTATTATTTCCCTTCTACGTGACTTTACCGAAAGAACCAAGAATACAATCGTTATATATTCATGTTGGATTTGACGCAAAGGGTGTAACCATAGGATGCACAATCGCTTCACGCACCACGACCTATTGAAATCACATACATCTCTGTAAGCTGTGGTCTAGAATGCGGTTGGTAAGCTGAGAAGTTAACATTTTTTTCCTAAGCGAGCGGTTATGCAGTTGGGAAGTGAGATAATAAGTATAATGTAATGTATTCTTAGGTTTTTTCGGTAAAGTCACGTAGGTAAAAAATTTAAATTAATCAAAGTAAAATAAAAAATAAAATAAAAATCACGACGTTTCAAGTGATACAGCTATCGTGCTGTGACGGTTCCACCTGAAGACGGAAGTTTGTGTTGCCTCCGAAACGTCGTGATTTTTATTTTATTTTTATTTTACTTTTGTTAATTTGAAATTTTTACCTACGTGACTTTACCGAAAAAAACCTAAGAATATGAATCCTTGCAGTCACGAAAGCTTCAAATCTATAAATAATGTAATGTATTTTTAAAAGTATTTAAGCACATTCATTTTACAGCGATCTGTCAATCCACCATCGAACGAAGGCTTCTCTACGCCATGACGCTAATGCGGATCGTTCAACCATGCTCCCCTGTACTGGTCAGTGCGGGTTGATGGATATGTGGCGAGGTCGTTAGATCAGTCGTGAGGAAGTGGATGGACAGGTCCCTTAACTCTGACCACCGCTCCCAATGTGCCCAGGGGTTGTGTGATGCTTCCGAACACCGATGGGGCGTACGACTACCCGGCAGCGCCCTGTGTGAATTCGCGTTGTGGGTGACCGTGGCGCGCATCATCCTCGGCTGTGAAGTCCGTCAGGGGGTGTCGGACGGACCAGTGTCCCTACACCTGCTGGAGGAGCAGGCTGTCACATGGCTCTGTGGCCACGTGGGCTGACATCCACTCACAACATACCATCGACATACATGCATAAGCAATCATTTACTCATTATTCATATATCTCGCGTATCAGCTGCTCCAACTATGTAAAAGTCAGAAGCCGGGGTGGTGGTTGCGGGGTTGGGGGGGGAAGGGCAGTCTCTGTCTCTTTGTGACCACGGACGCGGCAGCGCTTAGGGCACCGCTCCGTACAGCTCGTTGTCTTCCAGGGCGAGCCCCACGCTGCTGCCACCGCCACCGCCGTCGTCGGACGCAGCGCGGTTTGTGGTCGCCACGTCGTGGTCCAGCTCCGAGTAGAGCAGCTCCCCTCCTGCCGGTCCCTGTAGACGTCGCATGCACGAGCGGAGGCGCCGAATGGTTGAGAACGAAAAGACGGTGCACGTACACGGGACTACGCGGTCAACTCTTCCAACTTACGCCTAGGTAGTGCCGTGTTATTTGACAGTATGGAGGTCAATGGTTAGCTGTGAAAAATGTCCCGTTCGTGTTTTGCAATACAGGACAGTCAAATTTCGATTTAAAGCTTTCGTGGCTGCAGGGATTCATTATTCACCTGAGGACGGCTGCTTGCGTTGTGGCCGAAACGTCGTGAGAATTATTTTATTATGTTTTATTTTTATTATTTTATTATTTCCCTTCTACGTAACTTTACCGAAAGAACCAAGAAGATACAGGACAGTCGTTCCCTTTTCTCTGGGTTGTGTCTTCCAAGATTTGGTTAACCATCTGGTCAATTTGGCTACTTTCGAAAAGGGTAAGTCTGTAATAGAAACGCAACTTATACTAAAGTTTTGACCTGCCCCAACTGAACATCTGTGAAAACATATCTTCATAGCACATCGGATTCCTCGAGTATAAATACGTATTATGATTACGACCTTATGAACATTATCTTGCCCCATGTAACAGACGGGTGGACAGAACTGATGCACATCAAAGAGTATCCCTGTAAAACGAGCACATCAGACTTGCTCATTTGCATCGATCGCCCTGAGCCAGGGGTGAACATTCCATGTGCTTGTGGCAAAGGCCAGTCCATCCATAAGACAAACCTCCACTCTTGACTTTGCACAAGCGAATGCGTACATGTACTTTGCAAACTTCATCAGTTATACTTGACCAGGCAAGCCTGATTTAGTGTAAAGATTAATTTATAGAGTTAGGTTCTGATCGGGATGGTTTTAGCATCATCGGTAGCCATGATCTCTCATGGTCTTTTAATTAGCTTGAAAATATTTCTCAAAGTATTTTTGCTTGCAGAATAATTTTGAAATTACCGGAGAAAATACTCAAACAGTGACATGGCGGCATTCAATGACAACGGTAGAGAATGCTAATTTACACCAAATACAAGCATGCTTCGATTTTAAGCTATCGTAACTGCAGGGATTCATCTTCTTGGTTCTTTCGGTAAAGTCATGTAGAATGGAAATAATAAAATAATAAAATAAAATATAACTTTTTAATAATAAAATAATAAAGTAAACCATAATTATTTTATTATGTTTTATTTTTTATTATTTTATTATTTCCATTCTACGTGACTTTACTGAAAAAAACATAATTATTTTATTATGTTTTATTTTTATTATTTTATTATTTCCATTCTACGTGACTTTACCGAAAGAACCAAGAAGATACAAGCATGCTCTCACTCGAACGTACCAGTCTCTCCTCTTCTTCGTTCGCCGAGTTTCCACAGCTCTCGCCTTCAAAACAAAAACCACAGGTCGCGTGCCACTGCCACTTAATCTTTGGATCAACGCAAGGTATGGAAATTCTACGCATGGATATCGTACGTGAATGGAACCGAATAAAAATCTGACAAGGCCATTTGCGGTGTGACTGTAGAGAAGTGTGAGCCAAATCAAATTGGAATAGAGAAATTAATTATTAATGAGGTGACCTGATGGCTGGGTGGTCAGAGCACTGAGCTGACACCACTGAGATGCCGCATTCAGTTCAGTTCCCGATTATTTTCAATTACCCTGTGAGCCAAGGAGCTCTCAAATCGGGTTTCATAAACAAAGAACAACACCACCGCTTCTCCGACAAACGCAACGAGTTACAGTGAAATAAATGAACAATACGTAGCAAATCATAATCGCAATATTATCATAGCAATATTACAAATATATTTTTTTTAAGAAAAAAATTGTTAAATATTCTTGGTTCTTTCGGTAAAGTCACGTAGAAGGGAAGTAATAAATAATAAAAATTAAACATATTTATTACTTTCCTTCTACGTGACTTTACCGAAAGAACCAAGAAGATGAATCCCTGCAGTCACGAAAGCTTTAAATCGAAATTGTTAAATATAGATTATTATCAATTAGTGTGCTTTATCTCTAAAATAAATACTCATTTAAATCTTCCATATTAATTGTCAATGCTGATGAGGCCTAAAACATGATGGCGTTATATTGTGGAATAAAAAACACAGCATCCATGAAAAAATAAAAGTCTAAACAATGCACAAAGTGGTCTCTCATAGGCAATTAATAGTTGTACCTCGACTAACTCTTTATTTATTTTATTTTAAGCTTTCGTGACTGCAGGGATTCATATTATTGGTTAGGAAAAACCGCCACTTTTTTCAAAATTTCTTGCTGTGGATTTCGCACCTGATGATGATTGCTTGTGTTGCAGTCGAAACGTCGTGAGAATTTTTATTGTTTTATATTTATATAATTTTATTATTTCCCTTCTACGTGACTTTACCGAAAGAACCAAGAATATAACTCTTTGTTCATTGGCGGATGGGCAGGAATTCACATGAAAGTAGCGATTTAAAGTCAGCGATCGACGACAATGACTGCAAGTATGGCTTTCAACTGCCCATGATGAATGTTGAACTTCTTTAGCACCATACGGAGCTATCTGATGTGCAGGGGAAGGACAACAAGTGTTGCGAGTTGATAGTCTAATCCTGATCACCAATGACTGCCCAAAAAAACCACCATAAATCATTATCATTATTGTAACTTGATATTCAACTTAATTGGCTAAACTCCAGCATGTACTGAGAAATTAAATATCGCACGAATCTCACAGAGTGCGTGGGCAAATGCTTCCTCTATTGTGTAAAGATAAAAGGGCCAGTCGAAAGGTTGTTCAGAATCGGTTGCGTAAAATCTCTTGTGCAACCATTCTGTGAAACTATCCCGCAACATTTCTGAATGCAGTATTCGTCGTATGATGCCAATAGCACATGCGAAATGCAGTGGAATGTAGATCTTCATAGCATCTAAATGCGACCGCATTCTCAAGGCACTGTAGAGAATTAGTGGGCATATTGATTTTTTCAGCGGCAGCCATAGGCAGACGTATCAAGGAACGTGCCTGGTCAAGGCTCGATTTCAATGGGCAGGGAGTCGAGAGCAAAGAGGGCCAAAGGAAGGGAGTTCCATGGTCACCGCCACGCGTTGTCGCCGATTTACCTGGCCATGTTCTCGAAGGAGCGTTGATGCAGGAATACACGGTGTTCTCCTGGTATCCGTATTGTAAGTCGGAGTACAACGCTGCGCAGAGAGAGTGTTAACATCGGCACGTAATCACTGAGAAGACTTAACACAATTATGCCCGTGTACCAAGCTAACCCCTGCCCTTGGAGATGCCAGTCTACTATGTGCCTTGCTCCTTTCGCTTAATAAATTGTGGAAAATAAAAATACCAAAAAGTACACGTGTTATTTAATAATACATTTAAGAAAATCAACCGAAGTATATTTTGACCCTGACACGTAGGTTTTACGCTACCGATATGATGCATAATAACGGTGTTTTGGGTTAAATCACGTAAGTACAAATTCCTTAACTCAGCCACCACCCGACACAGCCAATTAGTAAGGTTTGTCACGTAAAAAATGAATGTAAAAATCGCCCGATGATGCTGGATGTAATCACAAGCGAAACGCCGACAGTACTCAAGTTGTAAATGTTGTGGATTTACTCTCAAGCACACCAGTGGGCTGAAGTAGTAACTCATTTTGATGTAAAGCTTTCGTGACTGCAGGGATTCATATTCTTGGTTCTTTCGGTAAAGTCACGTAGAAGGGAAATAATAATAAAATATACAACAATCAAATTCTCACGAATAGTAACTAATTTCCACGTTTTGTGTAACGTGACAAACCTCACTAATCGGCTGCGTCGATTGGTGGCGGGTTAACGACACAGTTTATATATTTATGCGATCTAACCCAAAAAAAACTGTTTTAATGAGTATATGTTCATCCACCGCCTTTGCGCATTTGCTGTGCATAGAGCAGATTGCTTGGCAACTGATTCAAATGTCGAGGGCCTTGAGACCTTGGGGGTCCATGCTGGGTAATCAAGGGAGCCCATTCATGTCAGAGCTCGTAGTTTGTGTTCCCTCGTCCGAGAAATGGGTGAGAAGGTAACTTATATCTTGACTTAAAGCTTTCGTGACTGCAGGAATTCATATGCTTTGGGTCTTTCGGTAAAGTCACGGAGATAGGTTCAAAGAAAAGAACAAACAATTATAATAATAAAAAACTACGACGTTTCGATCGCAACACAAGCGTTCGTCATCATGAATAAAAAAGAGGGGTAGAGCTGTTGAGGTTTAAAGATTTAAAAAGTCTGCCTCGGCAGCTTTCCGCCTCTTTTCTCCTCCTGATGACGAACGCTTGTGTTGCGCTCGAAACGTCGTCGTTTTCTTATTATTATTTTATTTTCTTTGAACCTATCTACGTCATTCTAGATTTGAAGCTTTCGTGACTGCAATGATTCATACTCTTAGGTTATTTTGGTAAAGTCACTTAGTTAAAAATAAAAATAAATAATAAAAATAATAGAAATAATCATAGAAATAAAATAATACATCACGATTTATTAATGATTTATTATTTTATTTCTATTATTTCTATTATTTTTATTATTTATTTTTACCTACGTGACTTTACCGAAAAAACCTAAGACTATCTACGTGACTTTACCGAAAGACCCAAAGAATGAGAAGGTAACTTCACTCGTGTTCTGCCCTGAATTTAGAGAACAATTGACATTACTTTGTTAATCCACTACCGCTTCGCTCGTTAGATGTGGGGATTGTTTAATCATACTTCACCAGCCTGGTCCGCATAGTTTGGTGAAGGTCAGGGCGTTGGTCTGGACTGGTTTAGATATAACTCGTGTTATCTTATCTCGTCTTTTATAGATTCATATAGCGCCTTAGTCCAAAGCGCTTTACAATAATTATTAAATTGTACGTGAGATGATTGTGTTTCAAATAAAGAGGGGTTATTATAAGTGGCGGTGTAGTTATGGTAACTGGAGGCAAGGCCGTAGCCATGGAGTCAACATCGGGGGGGGACCAAATCTTCCAGAGTGTCTGGGGGTCCCAACCCAGAAAAATATCTAAATTTGAAAACTAATTTCCTGGCTAAAATATTGAAAAATTCACTAACACATGGGATGGACTTTTATTTATTTTTTACAATAATGTCTAATAGTCTTACATTGCTCTATTTTACCTTTTTTACAATTTCTTGTTTCATTGTATGTAATGGCAGAGATTGGGATTTAATAAAGTACAAAAATAACCACAATAATATAAACAGAAATCTATGCAAGGTATAGCAAATTGTTATTTTTATTTCCATAGCATAGCAGTAATTTTTTTATAGCAATATATTGGGGGGGGGGGGGGGACATTTTGAGCATATTATTATTACGGCCTAGACTGGAGGACAGGCGGTAGTGGTTAGGGAGGGGTTGGGTAGTGTTTGGGTTAGGGGTAGTGATAGGGGTTGGGGGAGTGTTTGCGACCTCTGGCAGAAGGATACGAACATTATTTCAGTTTGAGAAGGATTGATGGAGTGAGGCCGTGGCGTGCCGACCAGGATTGGACAGTCGTTCAAGCAGTCGGAAATGTGGGAGGAAAGGTCAGGGGTAGAGGAGGAGAATTGGAAAGAAAATCTGGGTGTCGCCTGCGAAGAATCGATGGGGAAAGTCAAGTGAAGAAATGGCAGCTTTCAAGAGGTGCGATACGGTGGGAGAATATCAAGGGCCCTAGGACAGACCCTTGATGGGGGTGGGGGGGGGACACCGACAAAGACGTAGAAGGGAGGGGAGGTGGAGCGGTCAAAAGAGACAGAGGGAGGGCGTGAAGAGAGCTGAGACTGGAGCCGGGAGAAGAATGTGCTGGTGGTGCCGGGGCCGTAGATGGTGGAAATGTGTGCGGAGTGATCTACCGTGTCGAGGGCCGTGACCGGTGATCGAACTCGAGCCACGGAGTTCCGAGTGCACCGCACTTAATTTTACCGCAGCACCACTCAGTTCTTTCATTGTATCGCTCCGTCATTATCATCGTCATCATAACGCATTTGTGATTTTTTGAAAAATATTAATTCCGTTTGTATTTTAAGTGACTGTTTAACTCATGTCTCCCTTCAATAAGAGGAAATGTGTCATGTGTTTCAATGTGCGTATTTAATCTCCCGGTTAAATATAGGATGCTGCTACTTATACACAAGGTGGAAAATATACACGTCTGTTCATGATGTGCCCATTGGGTTTGTTCCGCATAGAAAACCATTGGTCTCGATTAGTTCTTTCCGTGCACACTTTCTGTTCACGTTACAATCTATTGGCCACAATTGACGTGGACGATTTGAAAAAACCCAGGCTGACTCAACAGTTTAACTTTTACGCAGGCAGCTGATCTGTCGTGAATAAGCCGGCGGCCGCATGTCTTTAACAACCCGATTAGCCTTGCGGCCTGAAGATAGAATTTGCATCGCACATTGATGGTTTCGAGTTAAGGAACAACAGCGTGAAATGTACACGCATTACTAAGCTCGTCCCTAATCATTGGGGACTGTAGGATTTTGTGAAATAAAAAATAAAGATCGCCGTTTTGTCCTCGACCAAATCACCCACAATGCACACAAGCTCATCAAATTTCAGAAGCTAAGCAGAACTGAGCCTGGATAGCACCTCCGATTGGCACGGTTAGCTATGTATGGTACGAAAAAAGTTCAACATACATGCATAGCACATGGAAGGGTGACTGTCATGTATATAACAGGTGTTCTAGGCTACATTGTGGGCAGCAGAGGACACTTGATATGCACATAAACTCACTCTCATTGACAATTATGTAGTTCATATTCTTGGTTCTTTCGGTAAAGTCACGTAGAAGGGAAATAATACAAAATAAAAAATGTGCTGTGGTTTTCACACCTGATGATGATGATTGCTTGCGTTGCAATCGAAACGTCGTGAAAATTGTATTGTTGAAGTTTTATTATTTTATTATTTCCCTTCTACGTGACTTTACCGAAAGAACAAAGAATATGAATCCCTACAGTCACGAAAGCTTTAAATCAAAAAATAAAAATTATGTAGTTATAGAATTGTCAGTGAGCCTTGATAAGCAAACTGCGTGGCATATATTGAAGGCTGGGTCACCATTGAATAGGGATTCTTAGCTCAAAGGGCCTCACGCGTAATAAACTGACTGACCGAAATTAATTGATATGATGCATAGATTGTAAGCGTGGATATTGACAAAGAAAATATAACAAATGCTGAAACGTGTGCAAAGACGCAGGGAGGGGTGCACGCTTGGAATCACGCCCAGGGACACAGAGAAACACATTAATCTAAGAACATGCGCACGTTAGACACACAATATTGGCTGTTTGGAATGGTACATGGGTGCGGAAGGGCATGTTGCTCGTGTGACGGCTGGCAGTTGAGAACTAACAACAGAGAGGCATCCAACCAAGATAATTCTATCCTTCACGGAGATGGAGCATCGAAATCGTCTCTCGTGCAGCCAGCTCGGAGGATTGTTTCATGACACTTACATTGATGAGGTCTTCTCTTGGATTGGTGTCGAATAGGTACAGGTGGCGCAGTCGTAGTGTCAGCAGAAGAAGCAGCAGCAGCTGGAGCTGCAGCAGCAGCTGGTGCAGGAGGCTTGTTCTTGTTTTTGCATCGCCTGGCCTGCCTGGGTCGCTCTGCACCAGACAAGTTTCAAGTTTTCAAGTTGTCATTTATTAGGTTTTGCCCTGTGAGCCATTCGGCTCTTGAATCGGGTGCAACCGCAACAGACAAAAAAACAAAAACATGAACAAGAAAACATCTTAAAGTGACTATGTGCAAACAGAAAATCCAAGAAAAGACAGCAAAATATTGCAGAAAAAGCACCGTACACCAACACTGTGTGCAAAAAAATCCCAGTGGGATGCAAGTCAAACAACAACAACAACAACCACAAGACAACTTAGATTAAGGCCATCAGTCTAACTCTGTACTACAACAAACAAACATGGCCAAACCGAAAAACTTTTAAAAAAATCACCAAAATAAAGCCATGAAAGCAATGAAACAGACACAAGCGCTCATTAACGAGGGTCTTCGTCTCAAGCGCTGTTAAATGACACGTGGCGGTGGAGGGCTATTAACTGGGCCAGACACACAGAGCCAGTGTCACTGAATATATTTCCCCATCCGAATATTTGCACTCCCACGGGAACACATATTTGCCCCCATCAATGATCAGTAGTTTCACCCGATGTATTGTATCCCCAGGTGAGGGTTAGGGATAAGGATTATGGGTTAGGTGAAGAGCTACCACAATTGAGATCTTGGGTTTGAATGCGGGTATCAGCCGCCCATGTTAAAACTGGAATCTCAAGTAGAACGAATGTATGGTCTGAGCCCGCTAAGTGATAACTTCACTTGCAACTGAGTTTGACTCCAATCCTTGTCTGTTTATATATTAGTACAATAGCCACCATAATTATACCCGTTTAATGTGCCTGTAGCTTAATTGTATTCGTACCGTGATCAATATGAAAATAATCTGCCCAAACCGACCTACGTTACAGGGGATGTATTCAACTTTATTTGAAGCTTTCGTGACTGTAGGAATTACTCTTTGGGTCTATCGGTAAAGTCACGTGACTTTACCGAAAGAACCAAAGAGTATGGAATGTATGATTTAAGATTGATTTCTGTTTGTGCAGCTTTTCCTCTGCGTCTTTTGACGCTGCCCACTGGTTATGTGTTTAATCTTCACAATGATCAATTCCCGTTGTGCCCACGCAACGTGATGCAGGCAGAGTCGCTAATTGTTAAGATTAACCGAATGACCGGCGAACCGTGGCTCGGACCAGACAAACAAGGTTTTTTTTTGTTGTTTAACCAAGGTACAGAATCTTACGTTACATTTCTCAAGTGCGAATATTGTTTTTTTGCTACGATTAATATTTGCTTCGCTGCTGTAGTTCATATGATTTGTTTTTCTTTCGTAATTTAGGTGACCCATGTCCCTCTTGCAAATGAGACTCATCGTCGTCTTTTTGAGTTCATACTTAATGTTTTTTTCATTTAACTTGGCTTCTTTCCAACTCTGAGAACTCAAACAATCGCTGTTATACTGGTAGGAACCTCCTGGTTACACCAGCCCACAGGGGATTATTGTGTCCGTCGTGCAGGGAGGGGCTGGGTGGGGAGGGAGGGGCTGGATGGGGAGGGGAGGGCGGGGAGGGTGGGGCTGGGTGGGGAGGGGAGGGTGGGGAGGGCCTGAGTGGGGAGGGTGTGGAGGGGTGGGGCTGGGTGGGGAAGCGGCTGGTCACCCCGTGGTGCCCTTATAAAACTCAACGTTTAACCTACTCACGCCGGCTTGTGCCCGCCCTCACAGTCGGGCATATTTGCGGAATACACCACGCCGCCGTTGACCCTGGCCATTGACCGAGCAACCCAACGTTCCTACCAGCTCCCTCCGCAGGAGGAATGTGTTTGTCGTGTGTCGTACAGTCTTTACGGGTCGCATCAGAGGTGTGCCCCCTAATGTAGCTGCAGTGAACTGCTGTACGAGCAATTTGTGCAATTCTTCTCCGACACAAAGTGTTCGCGCTGCTCGCCGCAAACATTCAAGTGGGAATGACTGGTTTTTGTGACTTTCTAGGAAGGCCAACTTGGAATATCATTGGGAATCAGGAAAATAATTCGATCCATGTTTAATTTTGTAAGGCAACCAAATTTTTTGAAAGCTTAGCAGGGTTGAGCCTGGCGAGTACTTGGATGAGAGACTTCCTGAGCATGCCAGGTGTTATAGGCTTGGGCTGGAAGATAGTCAGTCCATGGCAGTCTTGCACAGCAATGGACCCTTGACTTTATCTGTATGGAGCTGTGAGTGTTATCGCCTCGTATGGGCGGTGGGTTTTCTCAGGAATCTCCAGTTTGCTCTCACATCGAGTACAAGACGCACGATGGATCAAGTCCAGTTTCACGCTTACTCGCTCTGCTGTGCTTCGTCTTTGCCAGGTCACTCGTGTTGCTGCTGTACGTTGCCATCCTCTGCATGTTTTCGTACGTCGCAGGCCCTGCAGAGAAACGCAAACTCTAGATTTGAAGTTTTCGTGACTGCAAGGATCCATACTCTTTGTTTTTTTCGGTAAAGTCACGTCGGTAAAAAATAAAATAAATTAAAAACGAAAACAACTAAATTAAATTGCTTCCGAAATGTCGTGATTTAATTTAGTTGTTTTCATTTGTAATTTATTTTATTTTTTACCTACGTGACTTTACCGAAAACACCAAAGAGTATAAACGCAAACTCGTTGTGAATCTGAAAAATAAGAACAGGTTTCACCCGACGCCACGTAACACCACTTCTTGCGAGAAAAGCGTGGATGTAATGTCACGGAAGGGACATCATACTTCATGCTCAATCCGAAACAATCCCCCCCCCCCCTCCCCCAGATTATCTGACATTTCACACCTCGGTCGAATTTTTGGATTCATACAAATATCTGGAACACGTCGCTAATGTAAAAAAACATATCACGTGTGCAATGTACAGAAGACAACGATTCTCCCTGTAGCCTAAACCAATTGTTGAGGCAAATGCTGTTAGCGAGCACCTATAAAGGCTGGTACGGCACGCTAGGGGGTGGGTGGCCAGCACAACGCCCGGCCGCCTTTGTCTCCCTAGTGGCGATGACATAAACACCGCACCAGGTACTCATTTGAGGCTGAGTCGAGCTAGGGGAGGCCCAGGACCGGTTCTGATCATCGTCACTGGTGTTGGCCGTGAACGGGAGTCGAACTCGGGCCACCGACTTTGTAGCGCAGCGCACTAACCACATTTGTAAACAGCTCGTATTTCTATTCTTCGATCTTTCCACACAGAGAGGAAGCGTCAGTGAAAGTGGTCCTGTAGCATGAATAGGTTTCATACCACGCCTTGTACATTTCCATTTCGACCACTGCACACACGGCATGCGGGAGGCCTTCATCGAGCAGTCAATTGACAAAGGGCTGTAAATGTTCCCTCGTACACGCCTGCAAGTGATGTTACAATGTTTCGATTTAAAGCTTTCGTGACTGCAGGGATTCATCTTCTTGGTTCTTTCGGTAAAGTCACGTAGAAGGGAAGTAATAAAATAATAAAAATAAAACATAATAAAATAATCTCCCCGACAGACCTGGTCTTCACCTGAGGACGGCTGCTTGCGTTGTTGCCGAAACGTCGTGAGAATTATTTTATAATGTTTTATTTTTATTATTTTATTACTTCCCTTCTACGTGACTTTACCGAAAGAACCAAAAAGATAATGTTATAATGTTTCCACGCGCACGAGCAGTGGCGCATGAATGTCCCAGCACTATCGCCAAGCCCCAGACCTGGCTTTCGATAAGTTCCAAATCTGTTGTTCCATGACGGCGCGCAGGACGCGGCGTTTATTGTCAACACGGCAGAAAGTTCAACGCGCTGACTTCGCAATTGCACGCGCGGATTGCGAGGCGAGGCGAGGCGGCACGCGCGGGCGACACTTTTCGATGGAAACATTTTGATGGGTGAAAAAAATTGTAGAATAGGTGTTTTACCCTTTGTGGCAGTAAAACACGTGTCAAGATTTACACCATTGGTACCTCATTTGCCAGTAAAAAATATGATAATTGTTTTTTTACCCTTTTATCTGGCAACAAAACTGACACCTTTTTTTTCAAGATGCTCGAACGCCAAATAGACGCTCGGACAGTGCATTGTCTTTGTACTGTTCGTCTTTTGGCGTTGTTTAGTCTGACGTTGGTGAGACTAGGCCACAAAGAAGGCTGTCTCCGGTGCAGGCCAATCAGTTTCAAAGGAAATTGCATTTATTATCTTCTTGGTTCTTTCGGTAAAGTCACGTAGAAAGGAAATAATAAAATAATAAAAATAAACATTCTCACGGCGTTTCGATTGCGACACAAGCAATCATCATCAGGTGTGAAAACCACAGCACCATTTTTATAATTTCATAATTTCCCTTCTACGTGACTTTACCGAAAGAACCAAGAAGATGAATCCCTGCAGTCACGAAAGCTTTAAATCGAAATTTAACCGCCTTTACGGGGAGGGATTCCACATAACTTTGAGATCCTTCAACAAGTTCCGTGATAAGAAGGCTCAGCTAATCGAGTCTCTCCCCCCTTCCAACCCAGCTTATATATATGCTCCAAGCCCGTGTGCTGTTTCATTCAGACGCTGTCGCCTCGACAGACCTGGTTTTCACCTGAGGACGGCTGCTTGCGTTGTGGCCGAAACGTCGTGAGAATTGTTTTATTATATTTTATTTTTATTATTTTATTACTACCCTTCTACGTGACTTTATATTATTTTATTGCTACCCTTCTACGTGACTTTACCGAAAGAACCAAGAAGATGAATCCCTGAAGTCACGAAAGCTTTAAATCGAAATTGAAGGTATCTACAGTTTTTGGTATTTGAACATCTTAACACGTGTTTTCTTGCCTAAAAGGGTAAAGCCTCTTGTTAATGTTCATACTTTGAGACTGGCCAAAACGTCCCATGACATTCTGCTGCCTCGCAAGGCACACGGTGACCCCCGCCAGGCAAAGCATTGTGGGCTCCTTGAACGCCGTCCTGGTTAAGCCAGCGCTTGAATTCGGCACCTCCGATTAACACGGTTGGCGACGTACAGCGCGAAAGAAGTTCAACATACGCGCATACAGGCAGCAGGAGTCCCAGAAAGTTGTCTCACAAATCGTTTAGGCAAACCACAACCATCTTAAATTTCGATTTAAAGCTTTCGTGACTGCAGGGATTCATCTTCTTGGTTCTTTCGGTAAAGTCACGTAGAAGGGAAGTAATAAAATACGTGACTTTACCGAAAGAACCAAGAAGATTTACCGAAAGAACCAAGAAGACACAACCATCTTGTCATCGTCGTCCTCGTGGTACTTATTTTGTCCCCATACGTTTAAAAGAATGCAGGTTACAATAATATTGGCGTTTCTTTTTTATCCATGGAATCACTGTACATTGTACTCGAGTGATCGTGCCTCACGGCCGATGATGCCTGCCCCAAGCCGGCCTGGCGACGTTCGGTGGAAATCTCGAGTGGGAAACTGAGGCACCGGATACAACCCCGTACTCTTGTTGTCTGCCAAGCGACTCATGTCACCGTCGCTCATGAATATATGCACTTCGTGACGCGTCCACTGACGTTGGATAGAAATTGTTCTGTATTTGCGCATTTTCGTCTGCATGATGGCCGGATGGTCATCACGATTCCCCCCCCCCCCCCCCGCTAGGGGCCGTCCATAAATGACGTCACGCGATTTTGGACGATTCTTGACCCCTCCCCTCAAATATGACGTCACAAAGCTCTGCCCCCCCCCCAAAACCATATTTCCATTTTGAAAATAAAATATGCTTCAAATCGCTTTAAACTATTGTCATTGTAGTTAGTATTTAATGTGGCGCTGCACTCTGATGTTGTAGGAGTGTAGGTATAACAATTAGCGTTGTTATAACAATTATATATTTATTTAAAGTTGCGCATTTTGATGTGACGTCACATTTCTCAAACCGCCCCCTCGTCACACATTGTCACAAATGTCTGACCCCCCCCCCCCCTTTAGGTTGCGTGACGTCATTTATGGACGGCCCCTTATGAGTCCGAGCCTGGCGTGTGGCACTGCTGTAACTTTTCATCAGACCTCAACTTAAACTGAACTCTTTTTAAATACGTTATATTAAGTTCACTTGCTTGCTTGCGCGCTTACGACCGTGCAAATCTTTCGGTCGTTTTTTAACCCACTTCCCGTGATCCAATCGAGCTGACATTTTCCATACAGACTCGTTGTGCGTGACAATTAATTTTCGTGAAAAATGTTTTCCAAAATGTTACACTTTTTAGGAAAAAATATTATATTTAATTACCAATTGCTTAATGGTGCCAGGCAATCATCTGACCCATAGGTGGCAGCCATATCAAGCCAGAGGACTCTAGCCGCCACGCATATAAAGGATTTATAGTGAAAAACTTTGTTTTTACGGGTTAATTTCTTTTAAATTTTACTAGGTAGCGACTTGGCTATCACAAATGATAGCTCAACGAAGTGGCTCATCATCGTGTGGAAATTTATTGCAGCCAAATACTCTGAACGCACGTTTACATGGACGTATATTGAACCTCTTTCGCACAGGAACGTAGCCAACCGTGCGAATCGGAGGTGCTGGAACCGTCAATAAAATGTACGCAGTGAAAAACGACATAACGTGCATTCACTATCGGCATTTCGATTTTTTTTTCCAAAAAATAATATAATTTAGAAGTTTAAACAGCCTAAAAAACTAAACAAGGGAGACGTGAACACAAACAAATGTTAATTTATGACGAACATGATAATGAATAATCTTAAATCGAATTAACGTACACATGGGGGGTAGACCTGTAACCCTGTTCTAAATCGTATGCACTTACGTGTCGCAAACTCACGCAATAAATAACAGCTATTTAAAATTAATACGCTCGGGTCTTTTTCCAAATCGTATTCCTGCTGGATTATTGGTTTGCCGACTATTAAACATCCACAATCTTCCGTGCCACGACCTCTAAACCTGAGCCACACACACCACGGCAGAAACAGCCGCTCGATGATGCACGAATGGAAAATGTAAAACTCTCCGGCAGTGCGTGACTGTGGCCACCCAGGCCAGAACCCTGGAGCGTTGTCGTGTCACTCGATCCACAAACACGAAGCGGGAGGCATCGTCGCAGCGATACACTCCGACACTCTTGATGCAACGATCCGGCTCGAACACCTCAACGTCAGATTAACACGTGGGAGGCTTTCGCGACCAATATTATTCATAATCAACGTTTTTGGGTTTAGATCGCGTTATTTATAAATGTGTCGTAACCCTCCACCACCCGACACGGCCAATCAGCAAAAAAGTGTCACGTTGACAAAAGACAAATAGTTCACTGCTTTAGCCCACCGGTGTGTTGAAGCGTGAAACCACAACATTTACAATTTGAGTTGTACGACGTTTCGCTGGTAATTGCATCCAGCATCATCGGGCCGTGTCGGGTGGTGGAGGGTTACGACACATTTATAAATAACGCGATCTAAACCCAAAAACGTTGATTATGAACCTCAACGTTAGTTCACAATCGTTGCTCTTTAACCTACATCAACCATGAGAATGAAGAAGAAGACTGTGCGTGCAGAGACGGGTTTGTAAACACACAAATAAAACTGACGGTTATGCCGATATGCACCGAATACTGCCACTGGGTGTGGCCCAGTCACTTCGCCGGGGCAGATAAGCGACGTTCGGATTTGCAACGCTGCGCTGCGTGCAGTGTACGAGTCACTCGCTCACCGAGGTAATTCAGACACACCGTCGTTTGAAACTTACGGTTGACAGGACTGGACATGGGCATATAGGTGGGTTGGTTGTTGTTCGGCTTGTTGGATATCTCCGTGAAATCATTCTCTTGACTTTCTTGGAGCAATACACCTGAAAACGTTGACACAAACCCACATTTACGTTCCAGCATCATCATCATCATCACCACCATTCAGCCAGGGTCATTCCACTGCTGGATGAATGCTTCCTCAAGCAACCGTCATCTCTCGCAGTCCTGCGATGCAAAGACGCCTCCAGCAGCCTAGTGGACAATCCTCTCGGACATGTTCCATCCTTTGGCTGACATTCCGTCCTCAGTTTCGACCAGCGGCCGTGATTCCAGCCATTTGCTGTACTGCCTTCTCTCTCTGCTACCAACCACATAGCCCCCCTCCCATCTCTCCCCCCCCACCCTCTCCAAATTGCCACTCCCACCCACCTCTCTACTCGCGAACTGTGTGACAATCTGTGGGCTGTGTGGTCACCCATCCAAGCTGCATGATTCAGGCTCAAGAAACTAGTTGTACGCTCCATCCGAGTTGGTTGCGATTTGCCAGCATTGATATCGGCTGTGTTCACGAAGACGTTCACCAGATTGCAAAGTTACCCGTGGAATTAGTCTGTGGTTCTTTTCGGTAAAGTCACGTCGAAAGAAAATGTATAATGAAATAATAGAATACGACGTTTCGATTGCAACACAAGCAATCGTCATCAGGTAAGAATGAATGAGAATACAAACCTAGTAAACTTAGAAATATAATGCAATACAACACAGAGAGTCGGCTAACACAACAGTCAACGCCCTACCTGGTTGATTACGTTCTTCCTAAAGATTGCTTAAATTCGTTCTTACCTAATGACGATTGCTTGTGTAGCAATTCGAAACGTCGTATTCTAATTATTTAATTATTATTTATTTCTACGTGACTTTACCGAAAGAACCAAAGAGTAGTTCCTGCAGTCACGAAAGCTTCAAATTAAGTTTTTTTACCTGTGGAAATTTGAGGTCCGTGCATTTCCACTTTCTCTGGGTCGCACGTTTTCTTCTTTGCTTTGCAATAATCTGCGAAACGATTGGAAAAAGAACGCGTTAATAACGGACAGGTAACGGCAATGAACGTAGTCGTGGCACTACCCCTGACTCAATTGAGAGTCAGAATATTGTATTCGTACTGGAGGAATCCGATGAGCCATAAAGCTCTTTTTCAAAGATGTCCAGTAGGGGCACTGGGTCAGAACACACATTCTGTCGAGTTAATCTTGGCTCATGTTCAATCAATGATTTTGCCGATGTCGCCTACGTGCCTTCAACAACCACTTTTTTTAAATCCTTTATATTAAGTTCACTTGCTTGCGTGCTTGCTTGCTTGCTTGCGTGCTTGCTTGTGCGCTTACGACCGTGCAAATCTTTCGGTCGTTTTTTAACCCACTTCCCGTGATCCAATCGAGCTGCCATTTTGCACACAGACTCGTTGTGCGTGACAATTTATTTTCGTGAAAAAAGTTCCCAAATTTTACACTTTTTATGAATTAGTTTTTTAATATTTAATTACCAATTGCTTAATGGTGGCAGGCAATCATCTGACCCATAGGTGGCAGCCATATCAAACCAAGGACGAGAGGACTCTAGCCGCCACGCATATAAAGGATTTATAGTGAAAAACTTTGTTTTTACGGGTTAATTTTTTTCGCTCTGCTTCTCGCTCTGCGCAATGCGGAATTTTGGAATGAACTAAATCGTCATTTTTCGCAATACCCCACAACCTCGCTGAATTCATGAAACGTGTTAACTATCATGTGGATACGTTATACATTTAGAGCCTTTAGAGCCCGTGCTACGCAACCATCGGAAAAAAAAACCTCCCTCTGGGAATGAACCTGATATTGACAGCAGCGCTAGAAAGCCAAGCAGACTCAGCCTGGATAGAGATTGAAATGAAGTAACCTCCTTGCGTAACAGGTGGTAAAGGCTTCTGGACTGTGCTACGTGGTAGCCAGCAGTAATATCATCCATAATAGAGGTTGTTTTTGGTTAGATCGTGTAAATATATAAATGTGTCGTTAAACCCACCACCATCCGACACAGCCAACTAGTAAGGGTTGTCACGTAAACAGAACGTAGCCAATTCGTCACTAGTACAGCACACCGGTGTGTTGGAGAGCAAAGCTTACAATCTGAGTACGACGTTTCGCCAGTAATGTGGCTTCGCTCTCCAACAAACCGGTGTGTGGTGTACTAGAAACGAATTGGCTACGTTCTGTTTACGTGACAAACCTTACTAGTTTGCTCTAGCGGGTGTTTGCAGGTTCAACGACACATTTATATATTTACACGATCTAACCCAAAAAAGCCTGTATTGTGGATGATATTGGTCGTGAAAGCCCTACCACGTGTTAAGCTGTAAGATCCATTGTTGTCCTGTGCCTCTCTGTGCCCACATCCATGCTCCCTGACTTGCAGACATCACGTACAAGGTGGCAGTGCGCACGACTTTGCGTGGTGCGGTGGCCAAGTAGGTTGGCGCATCGCAGCATGAACCCGGTAACCTGAGTTCCATTCCTGGCCATGGTTTACTTCCCTAGCAAGTGACGTTTGAACCATTCCCACCCGGCCGTCCTCCCCCACTTCACCAACCAGCGTTGCCCAAATTGGAGACTATGGTCAAACAACCACCACTCTATGCACAGCATGGGCTAGGCCATTATCCAACAGTAAGTGTACACGCGGATAAACACGTGTGTCCTGTACAATGTCAGTAACTGGCCAGTTGGCTCAGTGGAAGACCAAGAATTTTGCAAACGGAAGGTCTGGGGAGTTCAAATCCTGTTTGGGGGTTGACTCAATGACCCATCCTCCCTCTCGGTCGATCGATACACTGAGCATCACTTTGTGAGAAAGTCAACAGTGGTTGTGCTTTTGGATGGACTTGCCACCGCGAGAAGGGGATGTGGAATTTCCACCATTGTCTCAGGGCTTAGCACCCGCCCTCGAAGCTCGTTCTAGCGGGGGCATGGGGACATCGCTCTTTGAATTTTGGCAAAAATGTTGGTGGGACGGGCAGTGAAGCACATCTTGCCTTTGCACATCCATCTGTGCGTGTAGACGGTGATGATGATGCACAGGGTAATGGCGACCAATACAGCCGCCATAATGGAAGGCACTAAGCATTGCAAGAGGGGGCACCGGGCTTGTTTAGTCGGAGTGGTCAGGTGTGGCGAAGACGATGACGACGACGACGACGACGAGGTGATATAAGATCCATCGAAATTTAAAATGTCTTCATTGGTTGGCATTGGTTCTGCAAAGATGAAACGGGAAACGTTATGATCCGGAATTGTTTATAATGCGTGCGTGTATAATTATATTGCTGGTTTAATGCGGAGTCCCGTTTAAAAGCGGAACAGGAGGCGACAACTGGAGGCTGTTATTGCCAGTGTGCTCGACTTGTAACGAGTTGGCATGTTTTGTTTACGCGACAAACCTTACTAATTAGTCATGTCGGGTGGTGGCGGTTTGAACGACACATTCATACGGACGCGATCTAACCCAAAAACCTCCGTTATGGATGTTTATTGTTTCAATGTACTATGCTTCGATATAAATGCGTCTCACATTCATCAACCTGCATTGACGTGTGTGGTGAAGTATGGTGAAATTACCCCCCCCCCCCCCCCCCCCACGATCCACACAGCAGGGAGAGGCCCTCGTCCAACAGTGAATTGACAATGGTTCATCTTCTTGGTTCTTTCGGTAAAGTCACATAGAATGGAAATAATAAAATAATTAAAATAAAACATAATAAAATAATTCTCACGACGTTTCGGCCACAGCGCAAGCAGCCGTCCTCAGGTGAAGAACAGGTCTGTCGAGAAGACAGAGTCTCATTCATTCATTCAGACTCTGTCTTCTCAACAGATCTGTTCTCCACCTGAGGACGGCTGCTTGCGTTGTGGCCGAAACGTCGTGAGAATTATTTTATTATGTTTTATTTTTATTTTTTTATTATTTCCATTCTACGTGACTTTACCGAAAGAACCAAGAAGATGAATCTCTGCAGTCACGAAAGCTTTAAATCGAAATTTGACAATGGTTCAATACATATATTGTGCGGTAAAAAATATATATAAATATTTAAACATATGTAGATACATATTTAAATATATTTAAACAAAGCTTAGATTTCAACAGCTTTCAAAGTACCGAGTACTGAAAACCCATTTTTTTTATTTTGACGACTGCTCTCACTCCTTGCTCTGGTTACGGATACAATTATGCAGAGGAGTGAAGAGGTGTTTTTGCTTTTACCTTGGTCGGAGTATAACCTCACTGAGCGCTCGTAAATCTGGCCGCCGTCGTACACGAAACACGTGTACACTCCGAAGTCGTCCTTGTTGATGTTGTTAATTTGCAGCGAGAACACGTTGTTTTCAAATTCTTTCAGCGGCACTTCGATTCTCTCGCTGTGCCTGTGCGCTTTGTAGAGGCTACTGTTGTACATGAATCGCTCAAAGTACAACTTGGATATTTGTCTTTTGTCGCCATGCAAAAACCAAGAAACCCCTCGATTCTTCTGGGGTTTAATGTTGGACAAATCGCAAGGCAGTGAAGCATTTTTGTTTTCGCTGGCTCTCACATAGATGTTATTTGAAGCCGTCCTTGTGGCGAATTCTGATCGCAACAGACAAGACATTTTCCATATTAGTGACGTATTTAAAAGCATTAAAATATGTCATTTTGCAATTGACACCTTTGCCGTAAATAACCAACTTGAAGCTGTTTGCATCTCAACAGTCGTAGGGGTGCCGCGGTGGCGAGGTGTTAACGACCTCGCAGAGTATACAGGAGGTCGTGGGTTCGATCCCGACTTTGACGCCTGCTGCTGTATATTTGAAGTTTGCATGTTCTTCCCCATGGCCACGTGGATTTGTGTCCGGGTCCTCCAGTTTTTCCCCTCCAAATTTAGAAACATGCGTGTCGACTGTTTGGCTGCTATACATTTCCACACATCGTTGAGCTATCATTTGTGGCCAAATCGCTTCTGAAAAATTAACCCGTAAAAACAAAGTTTTTCACTATAAATCCTTTATATGCGTGGCGGCTCGAGTCCTCTCGTCCTCTGGCTTGAGATGGCTGCCACCTATGGGTCAGATGATTGCCTGCCACCATTAAGCAATTGGTAATTAAATATAATTTATTTTTTCCTAAAAAGTCTAAAATGTTGGAAAAAAAATTTCACGAAAATAAATTGTCACGCACAACGAGTCCGTGTGCAAAATTTCAGCTCGATTGGATCACGGGAAGTGGGTTAAAAAACGACCAAAAGATTTGCACGGTCGTAAGCGCGCAAGCAAGTGAACTTAATATAAAGGATTTAAAAAGAGCTACATTTCTCAGTGGGCCTTACCTGGTAAACTAAAAAGCGACTTTGCTGCAAATGATGCCCCAACGAAGTGGCTTATCACGTGGAAATGTATAGCAGCCAAATACTCTTAAGCGCACGTTGATTGTAAATGTGGAGGGAAAATCGGAGGACCCGGAGAAAAATCCACGCGACCATGGGGAGAACATGCAAACTCCAAATATACAGGGTGTTAGGGTCAGGATCGAACCCACGATCTCCTGTATACCAGGCGATGTAGTTAACATCTCGCCACCGTGGCGCCCATACCTCCGAATTGAAAGTCCAGTGTGTTGCTCACCATCACACCACAGCGTATCGTTCTGTAGATGAATGCATGTCGACAGTCTCTGGAGGTAATGGTTGTGTCATGATTCACACGCTGCACTGTGAACCCGGGGACCTGAGTTCCATTCCTCGTCAGCTCCCAGGACGGGGAGTGAAACGTCGGACACCGTGGTTTACAGCACGTGGCACAGCCCGAACACACATCAGAGAGCCATAGGATACAGCTCCAAAAAAAAACCCAGGCAGAAACTATAAACTATATTGCAGTTTATCTTCTTGGTTCTTTCGGTAAAGTCATCACGTAGAAGGGAAATAATAAAATAATAAAAATAAAACATAATAAAATAATTCTCACGGCGTTTCGGCCACAACGCAAGCAGCCGTCCTCAGGTGTCGCTGTCGCTGTCTTCTCGACAGACCTGTTCTTCACCTGAGGACGGCTGCATGCGTTGTGGCCGAAACGTCGTGAGAATTATTTTATTGTTTTATTTTTTATTATTTTATTATATCCCTTCTACGTGACTTTACCGAACGAACCAAGAAGATGAATCCCTGCAGTCACGAAAGCTTTAAATCGAAATATATTCCAGTTTGTCCCGCAATCAGTGTTCCTTTGTGCAAAGGATTGACGGCGATAGTGGCTGCCACTCGTTGACCTGTCTCACCTTCGTCTGTGTAGAGATGCGTCACGTAACTCCGCGTCGCTGAGTTTTCCTTCACGTGACAGGTATAGATGCCAGCATCGTCCCGCCTTACTTTGGAGATATTCAGAGAGAAGTCGCCAAATTTGTAGCCTTCCTTCGATACTCTCGTTAGCCTGTCCTTGAAATCTTGTTGCACTTGGAATTCAGATTTGCTTTGCTTCGATATTTGCACGTGTTTCTTTTGGACAGAATTCCTCGGAGCCCATTTCCAGGTGACTTGAAATGCTTCGTTGCTGTTCCAGCTCATGTCGGCGATTTGGCAGCCCAGGGTGGTACTCGCGCCCACGTTTGCCAGCGTAACGCCAACGTAGCGTTGTCCCGTAGCGAGGCCTGGCAACACATAGGAAGAACCTCTTGTCAACAATGTGAAATTCCTCGCCCACGCTCTTTTTGTCAAAGACATTTCAGGACTTGCAATGTATCACTTTATTTGTTGTTATTGGGCTTTTCCGTGTGTGTCAAGTACGCGACTTACACAATAACAGGGAGTCAACGATGCATCTATGTAATGAAGGTAAACACATTAATTGGCCAATAACATATTAATATATATTGAGGACCGCAGAACTTTGGCAATTGCTGGCGCTGGCTCATCGCATAGTAGATAATATGGATGTTTTGTTTGGGTATAGTTGCATTCCTGATTGTCTCCGGTTCCTCCTCGTGACCCCGAGTCGTCCTCTCTCTCTACGAGAGAATGAGGTTACAAGTGAAAATTAGCGTTATCGTTTTTTGGTAATAATTCACTGGTCAACAAAAAAAACATTTTTTTCTGGCCTGGACTTTTGCAGCTGTTTTAGACTAATTTCAGGATGCTGATTCCAAATCTGATCTCAGATTTGCTCTATCACATCTCATTTTTATGCTATCGGCATACGCCATTTTCATTGATTTTACCCTGAAATTAACTCTGTCACTCATGATTGCAAGTTGTTGCGAGTCAGTGACTGCTTTAGTGTTAAAATATGGTGCTGTATTTTAGGATAGTGTGTTTATAATATCATTTTATGTAGATATCCACATTTATTTATTATTTTTCTTCTGCAGTTTTTATTGAAAATGCAATATTTGATATAAATTACCTTAAAACCGTTGGAATACCTTATGCCAGAAAAAGTGTGTTGACCAGTGTAATTGATGTATTATATTCATGTATATATATATATTTTAAGGGTAATAGCTCAGCGCTGCCATTGATCGCTCATTCCACTGCTGCCGGAAAAGCCTCCGCAAGTAGAAAGCCCCAGAGAGGCCCCTCTAGAGGGTATGAGGGTCGTCGTCCCTTCCACGCTGGCCGCTCCGGCTTGGAAGAGTTGGGAGTGCCCACACTTTACCCCAGCACATGCTAGCTGTCGACCGACAACTGCTCGATGGGCAGAAGCAGTTGGGGGCAGGCGGTGGTGGTGGTGATGGTGGGTGGGGTGGTTAAGAGATGTTCCATGTTCATCTTCTTGGTTCTTTCGGTAAAGTCACATAGAATGGAAATAATAAAATAATAAACATAAAACATATTGTATTATTTTATTATGTTTTATTTTTATTATTTTATTATTTCCATTCTACGTGACTTTACCGAAATAACCAAGAAGATGAATCCCTGCAGTCACGAAAGCTTTAAATCGAAAAAAAAATGTTCCATGTTGTTTCAGCTGTCTTGATGGGAGTTTGAACCAGCAAGCTCTGTCTCTACGGGACCTTTTTTTGCCAGTATCAAAATTTATAATAAACGTTTTTGAGTTAGATCGCGTTATTTATAAATGTGTCGTAACCTTCCACCACCCGACACGGCCAATCAGCAAAAAAGTGTCACGTTGACAAAAGACAAATAGTTCACTACTTTAGCCCACCGGTGTGTTGAAGAGTGAAACCACAACAATTACATTCTTGTGGCAAAACATGCAAACAAACATGCTCTGATAGAGACAGCCTTCTTTATGGCCGTGTCTCACCAAGTGATAGACCAGAGAACGCCAAAACTCGAACAGTACAAAGACCGTACAAGTATCAGAGCATGAACAGCTCGAGTGAAGCAGTTATATCTAGGGGACCTTTTTTGACAGTATCAGCGGCATCTGGATCGCAAGTCCAGTGAGCGAACCATTCATTGTCAAAACTTATTACCAGACTGTTTAAAAAAAAACACTTGCAGGATTTAAATTCTGGCATTGTGATTTTGTGTTCTTTTGTAAATTATGCAATTTATACAATAGCAGATAATCAATTATGTAAGTATTTGGTATGTACTATACAATATAATTGTTATTATGGCGGTTGTGTTACTTTTCGATTTAAAGCTTTCGTGACTGCAGGGATTCATCTTCTTGGTTCTTTCGGTAAAGTCACGTAGAATGGAAATAATAAAATAATAAAAATAAAACATAATAAAATAATTCTCACGACGTTTCGGCCACAACGCGAGTAGCCGTTATTTCCATTCTACGTGACTTTACCGAAAGAACCAAGAAGATGATTGTGTTACTGTTTATGATGTAGGAATGTATAATGGAGAACGCACGCACGTACGTACACACATTGTAATAAAGGGTGTTCGTAAACATACCATCGACAATTATTTTGTTATTTTCTTTGAACCTATCTACGTGACTTTACCGAAAGGCCCAAAGAATATGACAATTAAAGACTTTGTAATTATCGCGAAGGTTGAGCAAGGTGGACAAAACTACACACGTGTGGATAGTGACGATTTAAGTCTGCAAACAATAGATGTTGATATATTTTTAAAATTTTCTTCGGCGTCATCACGTGTTTGCCCTGCATTAGTTAACTCACACCCTTGGACCCCCTTACAAACAAGATGTTCCATAGCTTAATCAGTAACGTGTGTGTTTTTATGCACATTTTTTTAATGGGTTTTGGGAGTGGGACTGTTGTAAGCTGATACAAAATACTCTTTGGTTCTTTCGGTAAAGTCACGTGGGTAGAAAAAATAATAGATCACGACGTTTCGATCGCAACAACAAGCGACCGTCTTCAGGTGAAAGAATCACACTGCTGTGGACGATGCATTATATTGACACACGAGAGGGTCAATATAATGCCTCGAAAGGGTCAATATAATGCCTCGTCCACAGCAGTCTGATTATTTTCACCTGAAGATGGTCGATTGTTGTTGCGATCGAAACGTCGTGATCTATTATTTTTTCTACCCACGTGACTTTACCGAAATAACCAAATAGTATGGATTCCTGCAGTCACACGAAAGCTTCAAATCAAGAATGATGCAAAATACTTAAAATCTTAACAGCGCCTTTGCTTGGTGTTGATTCATGTTGTTCTTTTGCCATGCATGCTTTATTATATATACAAATACATTTAGGGAACATTTCAATGTGTGTTTTTAATTATTCCCATGCGTGCATTTTAATGTTAGGAGTGTTTTAATTGCTCAAAGGAATATTCTTACGGCCTGTCTTTAATGCTCAGTCAGGCTTGCCTGAGTGTCGAAACACAGCATACAAATTGATAGCAAATAATTAGTTTCTTCCCTGTAGCATCCAGAAATTAATTTCTCACTCAATATTTTTCCGAAACGCAGCTATAGCGGCTGGCTTGAAGTAGGCCAATCTAGGCACAAAACACTACCATTGGAATAACGCCGATAGCATTGAATCATAGACTCCCCCCCCCCCCCCCCCCCCCATTATCTTATGAACAGGCTTTGAAGGAAAAAATAAGGCACGGTTGGATGTGACGCAGACAAAGTAATTCTCCGAACAGTCTTCGCGAACTGTTCTAGCTGAATATAAACACTGCGGTATAGAGCTTAATCATACCAGCAGCGTATAGAGTTAGCGAATAATATTATACCGGGGTATCCATAAATGTATTGCCTGTTATATTAGATCATTATATTTATCCCTGTGTGTGAGCTCGGTCTGTAAAACCACTCACACTTGCTCGAGTGGGATGGTGCCGTGCAAGTCTCATTCCGTTGAGCGACAATTGTTGCACGGTTGGCTACGTACGGTGCGAAAGAAGTTTAACATACATACGTGTCGAGATTTGAGAGAGACCCAAGCATCGCTAACACGTCGGCTGTGTTGTTTTTTTAATGCTTCTGTTGTGTGACGTCGAAAATAGCTCAAGATTTTGAAGTTGACAAATTTCTGAAATACTTTAAACGAGGAATTTGCTGCCCATATTTTAACAGCGCAGTTCAAACGGCTGTCAAATTATGATTCTTTAATAATGGATGATATCTGTTTTGACACCGTGTGTAATATTTTTTTAAGTGGGTTCTCAGATGGAAGTTGCAAATGAAAATATCAATGTTTTGGTTAACTTTATAAGTAGGAAGTGAGTTTTAGAAATAGTAGGAAATAAAATTAATGCATTTTGTCCGTTTGTTATATTAAGCAAATCATTTTTAACAAAAATCTCTCTACATATATACAATTATACTTAAAATATACACATATAATTTAGCGATATACATTGTCTCATATTTTGACGCAAAAATAAAACGTGCATTTCAGTTTAACATACTTCAAAATTGGTTTGTAACTACAGCCACCGTTTCCCCCTTGTTTTCCGCCGTACATGTCACCGCTAACACTTCCGCGCGTGCGCTCGCGTATATAACAAAAAAAACAAGTTGTACAGATGCTTCCCTGCATGCACTGCACGAGCCGGAGCTGATTAGTAACGCGTCTAAAAATGCGCGTGACACACTCGCGCCACGGTGGAGATACGAGCGCGTCACTTGTGTCACAAAGTGTGTCACGAGCGCGGTACGTGACACACTTGTGCCACGCATGTGCCACGGTGGTGATACGGGAGCGAGGAAAACTTTGCTTGTCACCAACAACGACACGGACAGAAGCTTTGCTCCACATCTCATGCTCGGCATGACGACGTTTCGCTGAACGTGCCACACGTTTCAGCGGCGCTAATACTCCGAGCGAATCTTTCCTTTTTTTACGTATTCATGAATGTATTTTCCGCCTCCTCTTGTTTTCGTTACACGTTGTTCCCTCCCTCCACTGTATTTTGTGCGAGTTTTTTCGAAAGAAAATGCAAAAATTATCGCAAAATGTTTACTTAATTGTGATGTTTAACAACACCACGGGACAGCACCTGGAGTACGCATTCTAAAAGTGACTGACGCACACGGGCAACATTTGCATTCTTCTCCAACTGCATGCTGGGGAAACACACGAGCAAAATGTTAAGCTGATAGTTTTGGATTTATCGTCGGTAAAGAAAGAAACAAGAAATGTTACGGGCAAGGCAAATACAAGCAGAACTCCCTCTGTTTCCACTTATAATAATAATTATTAATATTATTCCATTGACTTTATTGGCTGTATAGACCACTGTTATCCAGCAACAATTGTCGAGGCGAGCAAATTATGGAGCGCTTTGAAATTCTTATCAGCAGTCAGGCTTCTTGAAACAAATGTCCACAAGATAGGGATGCAATAATAGGGTTTTTCCCCTTTTTCTGGCAACAACACTGAAACCTTTTTACAAGGATTCACGTCTGCATTAACCACAATACTCCACTTATCATGGAAACGATTCAAAAAAGCTTTTTTTGTGTGTGTCGCGGCCAAGTGCAAATATAGCCGCACTAAAGTTATCGAGGGGTCTTTATCAACGTGAGCCCATTTCCTGCAAAAAACATACTATTATAATATATGCATTGTCCTATGCATACATGCATATATTATCATAGTATGTTGAATCCTTCTAAAAAGGTTTCAGTTTTGTTGCCATTAAAAAGGGGGAACCCCCTATTGTTATATTTTAGTACTGGCAAAGGAGGTCGAATGATGAAGATAGGGATGTGAAAATGCATTCATATTGAAGACAACAGCTCGCAAATACACGAAAGCGCTGAACCGAGATAGACACGTGGCGTTCAGATGACACGTGCTTGCGTGACAATAGGAGGCCCTGGTTGTGATCTTAGAGACAGGGGGAGGGAAAGGTAAGAGAGGTCGAAACAAAACCATGTTTGGCAGCTGGCTGTGACCTGTCCCAACAGGCGTCGCGTTCCAAACAACGATAACGTTATACCAACTGTACCGTGTATGTTTAGGCGACGGGAATTCGTTGACTGGGAGGGCGGGGGGGGATTGTTTGTGCGGAGTTGAGGTGAGGGGTGCAGGAAATGGCCTCACGTTGATAAAGACCCCTCGATAACTTTAGTGCGGCTATATTTGCACTTGGCCGCGACACACACAAAAAAAGCTTTTTTGAATCGTTTCCATGATAAGTGGCCAATTCTTGGAAAGCTGGTTACTTGTTATCATCGTCACCATCATCAATTATTTTTTCATGCCGTGCCTCCGATCTCGATGTGCGAGAACAACGGGGGGGGGAGGGGGGGTATTTGCCACAATTACGATTTCAGACCAAAGACAACGGGGACGAACGATTCCTCCGAATAGCCGAGCCAGTTTGTTTGGGGCAAGCGCTCTTAGTGAAGATCCCTATGAAGGTCGGCACGGCACACGAGGTGGTGGGTGGCCAACAGCAAGTCCCACACACACACACGGCAGATGAGAATCAACTAAAATCGAAAATCTAATGAGGCCCCCTTCTTTCTTTATTTTGTCCACTTTCTTTAAGTTGTAACTTAAACCTTATAATTCCTTGGTAATTGTTTAATGGTGACGTCTTACATTCGCGAGCTTGACAGGATTAACCTGCGGTAAAAGTTAAGGCCACTTAAGTAAGTACATTTATAAACACGCAACTCTTATAGCCTAGCTTATTACCGGTGCGTGCAATAATGCGTAGGCATTGAAAGTCACTCGAAACAAACCTTGATTGGTGGTCATTCATGTAATGTTAGCTTTAAGATCCAATTGCTAGGTTTTTTTTTTACAAATTTAAGTCGCCAATTAGAAGGGACAAGTACGGACTCAGCACGGTGATGTACGGTCAAACATAACCTCCATATCAAACACGTAACGTGGAAGCCTGAATCGTGTAGTGGAGAATCTAAACGAGCAGTACAATGTGTATTGTGTGTCACTTTATAACAGCAGCGCAACATTCATTCCGCGGTGCACCCGATTTATTTTTCGTCAGCAATATCTGTCAAGAGGAGACGTTCGGCTGAGTAAATGCCATTAGAAACAACTTACCCGTTAGAAGTGTTGCTTGCAGTATGAAGGCGATTGTGAAGTCCATAACAGATCGAGAGCACGTGTGCATGTAACAGCGTTGAACTTCTTTCGCGCCGTACGTGACCAACCGTTTTGAAGAACCTTTCGCTTTAGACTCGGCACCACAGTCCGAGGCTGTGTGCTGTTCGAACGACTGCCCGACAATAATGTGCTGAACCCCGTAGCCTCGGCTTGCTCAGGCTAGTCACAAAATCCCCGAGAGATGCCTTGGTTGTGATACAGCACCACAAGCAACGCATGGAAAATACTGTTTATATATATATTTTTTTTATACTTCTTCTTCTGTGTAATCAGGACTTTAAAAAAAAAAACCTGACGTAATCACCAGACCGCTGCGCTGGACCGCAAACAGAAGTCAGCTTCTCCAGTGTGAGTATTTTTATGCCAATAGCTGTTTTTTTTATATAATGCTCTCCGTAAGATAGCATTACGTGTTGGGCTAACCTAAGATTACTAATGACGTTAAGCGCAGTTCGATATGGGCCTTGAGTGATACTGCCCTACGGAATAATACTTCTTTTTTTTTGCTGAAACAATGACTAGTGCATATTTCCTTCGCTGGGATAATTTTAACATTTTTGTATAGTGACTCTTTAAATGAATTTTAAAAAATCACCAATGTCATCATCAGCCATGGTCGTTCCGCTGCTGGATGAATACCTTCCCAGGCGACCGCCACCTCTCATGCTCCTGTGATGTAATTATACACAGCATTTAAACGAATTAATGTAATTGTTCCATCTCCTCAATTAACGTCCTCTCTCCTGACACGGCCCACTTGATAAAATAAAAGCAATTTAGAACGTGCGCATATTTCCTAAATTGGATGCAATATTCGATTGAGAATTTAGAAGCGCAGAGCCAAGATTTAAAGTCATTCACATGCTAGCCTGAACAGGTAAGAGTCTGAAGAGGTGAGAGTCTGAACAGGTGAGAGTCTGAACAGGTGAGAGTCTGAACAAGTCAGTGGCTTGACAGGTGAGAGCCTGAACAGGTGAGAGTCTGAACAGGTGAGAGTCTGAACAAGTGAGTGGCTTGACAGGTGAGAGCCTGAACAGGTAAGAGTCTGAACAGGTGAGAGTCTGAACAGATGAGGAGTCTGAACAAGTGAGTGGCTTGACAGGTGAGCGTCTGAACAGGTAAGAGTCTTGAACTGCTACTTGAAGGATGGATGGTGATCGGATGATGTTGTGTGTGTGCAGTGGGAGAGATGAGTTGCAGATGAACTGGTGCAGCTACGGAAAAAAAATGTCACTGTGTCAAGACAGTCCTGGTTCTGGGTGCAATGGGCAGATTCATAGATTAACTCCATAGGGCACGGTGGTTATCATCGTCATCAACATCATCAGTCACTTGTATGTATGTTGAACCAGTACCTTAGTGGCTCTGACCCTCTGTGACACCTGGCCACCTGTATGTATGTTGAACTTCTTTCGCACCGTACGTAGCCAACCGCGCTAATCGGAGGTGCGGGGGGGGGGGAAGGAACACAAACTAAACGCAAAAAGCAGTTCCAAAGAAATAAGTCTTCAAAAAGAAATTAGTTTAGAAACCCCGGGGTCTTCAATTCAATTCCCCGCCACAGCGAGCAGTGAGTGACGAGTTGATGTCGGAACCAACACGTGGGTTCACCCCTTCACTTGACCAACGTGGCGAAGTAGGCAAAACAGCAAGAAAAAATTAACCCGTAAAAACAAAGTTTTTCACTATAAATCCTTTATATGTAAGATCACCTCTTGACATGCCCCGTATATTCCCGAGGGCACTAGCGTTGACCCGTTTTACCACTTTCAAGAACCTGGCGGCTTCAATTTAACTGCTCTATAAATAGTTTCCCTTGTACAGCGTGAGGGCAGGGATTTCATGCCATGTGGTTAGTCAACATTTGCGTCATGATGAAACGGGCGGCTAGAGTCCTCTCGTCCTCTGGCTTGAGATGGCTGCCACAATCTAAACACAAAACCCAGTTCTACAGAAATTAGTTTTCCAATCTCGCGTTGCCCAGGCCCCTGGCGATCCTATCCCGATCGGGGCGCCGTGACCCTGAACACATTCCTGGACCGCGGCGTTTGACATCGGCCACCACGGTTCGCGTGCCGCGTCAACTGCGGAATCCACCCCGAGGTCGACTCCAGTCCCGCAGGTGGCACCACCAACCACCAACCAACACCACCACCACCACCACCACCACCAACCACCACCACCAACCAACCAACACCACTAACCATCTACCACCACCACCACCACCACCACCAACACCACCACCACCACCACTACACACCACCACCACCACCAACCACCACCACCAACCACCACACCAATCACACCACTACCAACCACCCAAACCACCAACCACCACCACCACCAACCAACCAACACCACCACCAATCACCACTACCAACCACCACCACCAACCAACCAACACCACCACCAACTCACCACCACCAATCACCACTACCACCACCACCACCAACAACCACCAACCACCACCAACCAACACCACCACCAACACCACCACCACCACCACCACCACCACCCAGCCACCACCAAACACCACCACCACCAACCACCCCAACACCAACCACACCACCACCACCACCACCAACCACACCAACAACACCACCACCAACCACACCACCACCAACCCCACCACCACCAACCAACCACCACCAACCACCACCAACAACCACCACCACCAACCACCACCACCAACCACCACAACCACTACCAACCACCACCACCACCACCAACCACCACCACCACCAACCACCGCCGCCGTGGGTGATGGCGGAGCGCCGGGCTTCTCCGGTGCGATCGGTCGAAGTGTCTTGCCCCGGGTTTGGGGGGCAGTGCCAGATTAAGCTCGTGCGGGCCCTGTAGCATCATGTTATAAAAGGGCCCTACATTTTTTTTTAAACACGTAAATATTAAAACACATGTTTTTTTACTTGCTCAGTAAAGTTATTGTATTTTCTCATTTGCTATACAGCCAGATAATACGACACATCGCTCACCTTAAACGCCCAGTCGTTCGTAAAAGTTGAAGGCGGTATAGTACTATAGTAATAGAGCAAGTGCAGAGTCACTGAACCGGGATTGATAGCTTGAAAGCGTTTAGTGCGGGGCCCTTGAAAGTGCGGGGCCCGTAGCTACTACATACAGTATGTAGTAGCTACTACATATGTACTACATATGTAGCTACTTTTGCGACTAGGATCATCCGGCAGTGAGGGGGTAACGCGTGAGTCAGAAGAGTTGAAAGTCTCCCCTGACCCCGGGCCGTGACCATGTCGGTTCACCGGCCGGAGGCGCCGTTCCACCACGGACCTCGGCGTCGGCCACGCGCTTGCCGTCCGTGGCACGCGGAGTGTCCGTGGCGGACATCGTCCACGGGTTTTTTTTTTTTTTCCTCTCGCGAGGAGACACACCGCCATTGACCCACGACTCGGGAGCTGCGCGGCAGGCAGCGGCAGGACGAGGAAGAACGCGCGCGGGTCGCAGAGGCGGGATCTTTGTTGGCGTCGTCATGGCAACGGTCTCGACTAATCGTCGTCATGGTAACGTACTCGACTAATCGTCGTCATGGTAACGTGCTCGACTAATTGTCGTCATGGCAACGTGCTCGACTAATTGTCGTCATAGCAACGTACTCGACTAATTGTCATCATAGCAACGTTCTCGACTAATCGTCGTCATAGCAACCTTCTCGACTAATCGTCACCATAGCAACGTAGTCGACTAATCGGCGTCATAGAAACGTACTCGACTGATTGTCGTCATAGCAACGTCCTCGACTAATCGTCGTCATAGCAACCTTCTCGACTAATTGTCGTCATAGCAACGTACTCAACTAATCGTCGTCATAGCAACGTTCTCGACTAATTGTGGTCAAAGCGATGTGCTCGACTAATCGTCGTCATAGCAACGTTCTCGACTAATCGTCATCATAGCAACGTTCTCGACTAATCGTCGTCATAGCAACGTTTTCGACTAATTGTCGTCATAGCAACGCACTCGACTAATTGTCGTCATAGCAACGAGCTCGACTAATTGTCGTCATAGTAACTTTCTCGACTAATCGTCATAGCAACGTTCTCGGATAATCGTCGTCATAGCAACGTTTCTCGACTATTCGTCGTCATAGCAACGTACTCGACTAATCGTCGTCATAGCAACGTTCTCGACTAATCGTCGTCATAGCAACGAGCTCGACTAATTGTCGTCATAGTAACTTTCTCGACTAATCGTCATAGCAACGTTCTCGGATAATCGTCGTCATAGCAACGTTTCTCGACTATACGTCGTCATAGCAACGTACTCGACTAATCGTCGTCATAGCAACGTACTCGACTAATCGTCGTCATAGCAACGTACTCGACTAATCGTCGTCATAGCAACGATCTCGAATAATCGTCGTCATAGCAACGTACTCGACTAATCGTCGTCATAGCAACGTTCTCGACTAATCGTCGTCATAGCAAGTGGGAAGTGAGTTTGAGAAATAGTAGGAAATAAAATTAATGCATTTTGTGCGTTTGTTATATAAAGCAAATCATAAACATAATCTCTCTCTATATACAATTACACTGAAAATCTACACATCTAATTTAGAGATGTACATTGTTTTATATTTTGGCTAATCGTCGTCATAGCAACGTTCTCGACTAATCGTCGTCATAGCAACGTCCTCGACTAATCGTCGTCATGGTAACGTCTCGACTAATCGTCGTCATAACAACGTTCTCGACTAATCGTTGTCATAGCAACGTTCTTAACTAATCGTCGTCATAGCAACTTTCTTAACTAATCGTCGTCATAGCAACGTTCTTAACTAATCGTCGTCATAGCAACGTTCTTAACTAATCGTCGTCATAGCAACGTTCTCGGCTAATCGTCGTCATAGCAACGTTCTCGCCTAATCGTCACGGACAGGGGCTACATGGGAGCAAGACCACGCCTAGAAAGGCCGCGGTGCATGGAGGGAGGAGCGCGCGGGACGTTTCTCACGGATCCAAGGAGGGGTGACACTCGACTGGACAATCTCCCCGGGATGTCCCTGGTCTACACTCTTAGTTCTTTCGGTAAAGTCACGTAGGTAAAAAA